TGTGATGTTTATTTTCAGTACAAATAATGTTTGAAGAATTTAACTTCATTTGGTAGCAAGAAAATTGCATTATACTCAAGAATCGATCAATCAAAATGCAGTTATTCCTATTGAATGAGAGGTGAGTTTGTACTGAGACCACCTCAGTACTAATGGGTTTTTTTATAAAAAAATGGGTTCTTAGAATTGATATATTTCATAACATTTATAAAATTCTCATCGATTTGAAATTGTATTCCGTCTTGTGGTATAGAGCAAACAATATTTTTTTCATTTTTAAATCACACAATTCGCATATGTTTCCTGACTCACAGCTTGACAGTCTATTAAATATTGTAATGTAATAATTAGCCCTCGACGTAAGGGGAGGGGGGTTCTAGCCTCGAGCGGGGGGTTCAGCGCAGGCGGTAGAGGCTATTGATTCGTCTGGCTGCAGATTCAGCGAGTCGTCTTAAATCTTATCATAGACCCCACTGCTGTGGTTGCACCAGTTGTGTTATTATTTTGTCATGACGATGTCAAACGATACCATTACTATCCACTTCAGTGGATTTCCAGCATCATTGGTCCACCATAAAGGTTTGATCGCTTGCAGTCGTCACAATACAAAGATGGGTTTCGGTGTCGTCCCGTCACATGTCTGGCCTTTAACAGCAGTACTGAGAGAATTTATGCAACCATGTTTAGTGATCCAGACCTTCAGATTTATTTTTGCCAATCACAATTAATTGTGGCCGATCATTACGTCAAATTTCTATTAGTGAGTACCTACGCGAATAATTAGTGAAAGCTATTATGAAAACTTTACCGACCTAAAATAAAATTACTATTATCAAGACAAATGCGTTCGATCGTCCTTCGAGGGGTTTTAATTGTACATAAATACCTAATTCAACTAATAAATATTATTATAAAAGTCAATACATTTAATGATGACCAACACATCTTGTCTGATCGACGGTGATTTTGAATTTACAGTATACAAATATCGCACACAAAGACTTAAAATAATCTTAACTCCTATAAATATTTTACATTGAATTAAATATTTTGATCTTTTAGTCGGTGTTTGTTCTTCCAATACTGTACTTATAATTTTGTTGAAAACTGGATTTGTGTTCTGTGCTTGTACTACAGTATGTGTAAATGTTCCCCTTATATTCGTTGTAGTGTTAATACAAATGTACATTAAATTTTATGCCCTTTTTTGTTCATTTTTATCCTTATTTTTTTCTTTATAATGTTTGCGTTTACATTTTGTTTCTTAATATATATTAGACGAGTATGAATATTTATTAATCTTAAAATCATAATTCTCATGTTTAAAAGGACACTTCTCTATTTACCGACACTTGTGGTATTGGTATGGTGCTATGAATAACAATACCTCGCCGACAAGGGTGTAATTAACTCGATGCTTTACCAAACAATAATTTAGGAACTGGATGATTTTAAAAACTCTCATACAAAACTTAGCAATGACAAAAAATACAATAAAATGTCTGCAACTGTTGTAAATAGTGTTTTGTTGGAGATATACTATCTCTCGATATACACTATCAGTTGGCAAACTGAACCACCTGATAGATCAAATCAAATGAAATAGTGGCGATCTTGAAGGTTATCATTGCGAGTTTAGGGACAAATAGGGGTTCGACAGGGGAAGGAGAGATTAGCTGAACTAGGCTCTGAAACGACTCTTTTAAAACGAATCGTTCTCCTGTTTCAGTTCAATAACGGGATTGACTTCAAAATCATAATTTGAATATTTACAAACAGTAAACCTAAAAATGTTATAAGTCAGTCAAGTACTGATTGATCCAGGCCTAATCGCCTAGTTTTGCTAGCTACTTTTTTACGCATTTTGGATAAGTTAAATATATTTACAGAAAATATAAACGCATTCTATGCAATAATATTACCGTACTGAATATAATGTCATGATACATTGTTAAGATATGCTGACGTAATTAAGCGTTACAAGTTTAAAATTCAAATATTTTTGTGATTATGTAGGCCTACGATAAACTTTATGAAATAAATTGTATTTTTGTTTGCACATTGTGTCGCATTATGGTGTATTTGGTTAATTTTTCGTCTGATGAACTCAAATTTTATATCTGAATTTCTGATTCGCTGTCATTTTTGTCGGAAACGCTTGAGATGACAATATTTTACGCGGCCTACTCTGGGAAAATTACAGGACTGCATGGTCAAGATTGAATATTTTGACATATATTTTCAACGAAAATTTAGTGATTTTTTAAGGGTTCAAATCGGTTTACAAGGCTTTATAAAAATAACGAAATATGTTATATGATATTACCCGATGGTTAAAGATTATATGGCCAAGGGATCCCTGGCTGGATCCGCTACGGGATTAAACTCTTTTTTCTTATATTCGCTAAATTGGTGAAAATGGCCCAATGTATATTTGGAAATATAATATATTCTTGCCCGCGAGTCTGTGACATAGCAATAGGTGGAATACTTTGTACCAGATGCCTACAGCTACATTTTACAACAGATATTTCTTTAATCTTTCTCAGTAATAGATAGTCACGGGTTGTTCCTGAATTATATTGTATTATTGTTCTAATACAAACGAGAGAAATTCGCCCATGTTCACGGTCGTATAACATAAATCGGAGGCTATAACATCCTCACGAAGTTAAAGCTATTGTTTTGGAAATATTCAAGTGTATTTTGATTTTAAAAGTGTATGCTTGAATAATCATTTTCAATTCGAGTTTACTCCGATATATAATAACCCTACAAAAACACTTCAGTGTACTAAATCTATTGTCCCTAAGCTCTACAAAAGTAACCATTTAAACTAGGTGAAACATTCAAGAGGAGATACAACTAGATTTAAATACAAGTCGTAGTTACAAATATACTTAGGTACAATAACAATAGAGAACGAGTAGATTTAAAGAGTCGTTCTCAGAGCTTAGTCAGCCTCCGTTTGCCTCCCCCTCGGCTCACGACCCTATTTGTCCTCAAGTTTCCGTGTCCCTAAGTTTCCTTGTCCCTACATTTCCAGACACCATCATGACTACTTCTCTGCTATTACTTTATATGGATGATTACGTTTAGTATGCACATAATTAATTACATCTATAGTTATCGTTTATCAAGAAAAAATCACAAATCTAGTGTCCCGAATTTTAGAAACAGCATCTGCGTATACAGTACGATACCCTTTCACCATTAACTGAGACAATATGTAGTGTCATCATAAGTTTATAAGTTTATAAGTTTATAATTGAGACATTCATGGCTACACACTATCATGTGATTTTCGTTGTACAGTTGTTTTCACATGAAAAAAAATTAAAACCATGATAAAATACTACTGTATTAGAATCGACGATTTTCATAAAAGCTTACAGTTCAAAAACTTAAGAGCTCTTAAGAAAATTTTTGACTCTAATACAGTAGTATTTTTTTTTGTTTCTTGCTTTATAAAAGATTCAGTTATCCAATTTATGAGCAATAGTGCTTGTAGAGTTGTGGTTATGCTTCTAGTATGCAGATACAGCCTATCGTATAAACTACTTTTTAGGTTGCAAATAATTATTATTCTGTATTTGGAGCATAACAAAGAAAGAATTCATCCTAAAATGAATACCCTTGATCTTTAAAACATTATCCTTCCCTGTATTCTACGACCACATATTCACTTTAAAGAATATTTACAAAAATGGAGGTGTAGAAATGGGTAACTGTACAGAAATAATTCTTCTTATTTGAGGAAATTATAAATTATATGATACGCTATTTTACCATAAATAAGTTTTGCTAATAATTGAGGAGAATAAGTTGAGATGAATAAGAGGATATGTTTGGTAGCAGATGTCTTATAATCTGTTTGGATCTCAGATATTGCAGTATTTGTTTACAAACCTCATGGAACATCCTAAACCCATTTTAAATCATACATTGCGAAAAAGCCTAGTTAGGACTACAGTTAATTCAAACTTCAAAATAAGGTGTGATGTATTTATTTGTAGGCCTATTGCTAAAGCAATTAATAACGTACACCAGGATGAAAACACTAATTTGAACATAAATGTACTTCCTGGTTTTTACACCATCAATCATACTTTGAAACTAGTTTTTGTTTGACAAATTTTGATTACTAGAACTCAATACGGTAAGTTACTTGTGTTTATTCGTGTCATACTGCTAACAATTACTGAGACATTATGACTTTTTTTAAGAGGTTGGCGGCCTCCAAAACATTAAAGCCAGTAAACCATACAATACAAACGCTGATGATTTTGTATTAACATCGATATTCTCCATGTTAACCATATAAATGTTGCCGCTTCAGGGTAGAGCGGTTTGGTGGTTAGATTGGCTTTGTATGTCGCCAGGGTGCGTATTTGAAGGTGAATATGAATGAGATGACAGCTGTATTACTCACAACAATCAGCTGATTCTATAGGTCAGAACCATTTACTGTATTACGAGCCAATTAAAAGCTTCTGACTTTTCTCCGGTTCAATCAGGTGCCTTTTCTTTTGTTTAAACTGTAAGCGAAAACTCAGCCACCCAGTTATAGGCTTTCACTATTTTAGTATTTTACCGACATCTTAACAATTTTTACCATGCGACAGTCGCTGCTTCTGAGTAAAGTGTTTTATTACTTTGCCATATGGTTTCATAGTTTAGTTGTTTGTTTTTTTGCAATTCTATATGTTTTACCATGTAGCTGTCACTGTTTTAGAGTTGGTTTGTACAGTCGTCACATTGTTTCATCTTGTGTTATAAATGAGTTAATATATGTTTTTCCTTATAACTCTCTCTTAGGCACAAGGGTTTACTAACACATCATGGCGTCATGATTTTGTGCTGCTATCGTCATTCTAATCGTCGATGTTTCAAGGCAGAGCTGTTCAGCCAGTTATATGGTATAGCGCGCATGTATTTTACAGTTGCTGTTTGAAATAAGGTTGGTTTATTTGATCTTACCGTGACTGTGACTGTTTCAGGGCAGGGCGGTTTCGAGCCGGCGCTACCCCGGCGCAAGAAGAACCCGGCCTTGGCATACAAGACGCATGAGTTTCTGGCTATGTCTGATGGCGTCGGGTCCAACGACTCCTTGGATGCAAGCCTCATCGTCGATCGTGCTCGGGTACGTACATCATACAGCTAGTTTAGGTAAAATACCATCGACACACGCTTACAAATCTGCGTCGGAGTAGCGAAATAAACTTTAAATTGGGGAATAATGCGTAGATCCGTTATCATTTGTATGTATACTACAACAACATTGATTGCGACGTACACTTTAAAATCTGCGATTGGAAGGACCGCATCAAGCTAATGTGGAAGATTGTTCTACATTGTGAAACACTTCTAAATCCATTATATGTATTATGCTTTCAATAAAAAAACAGTACAAACATTAAAAACATTATGCGGAATTTTAAAATTCGACATAGACAAACATTTTGTAAAACCATAAAAAAGCTCAAATCAGAAATCCCATTTGGAATCAAATGTGATAGGAAGGAACAAAGAAGCTATCCAAATACAGTTGTACTATTTGACTTGGACCACTAACAAGTAGTCTTTCTGCTGTAAAGATATTTTCAAGGATTTTCAAGAATCTTCAAGGCTGCTGTAGTAGATCTTATGTATCTGATCTATCAACTCACTACAACGTCTAGCAATTTTAAAACGTACTTTTGGTGAACGTATTGAGATTAAATACACATGTGATACAATTATGCAACTCTTTCTTACTCAACCAAGCTACCAAAAATCTGCGATTAGTTTTAAGATCTTAAAGAAACTAACACAAATAAAAACGGCAACAATACAGGACTTAATAGTTTGAAGACAAAAATTTGATACATTTCTTTTTAATGCAGAATTTAAACATTGTTTGGAAATATCCATAATACGTTTATTAGTATTTATAACCTGATGTTGATTGGTGGCAAAATGGACAGAATTAAAGATCAAATTGTGTCAACTCTTTCAAAACCCATTATTTAACCATGTAAAACCTCGTAAAAATCGTTGTTATCTCGTCGTTAATCTAGTCCACATTATTTTTTTTTTAAATTTTTATAGGCTTCCCTATATCATTCAAGAACTTAACAACAACTGAATTGTGCTTTAACAACAGAAAATAAAGTTCATAAACGTTTTCAGCAGTCATTTGTTGTTATTTGAGGGGTTATTCCAGGTATTTTCCATCATGTTTTCACGACGTTTCCTGACCTAGAATCCGTTCTCAACCTCAGGTTCCAGATTCTGGAACGTTGTAACACACGGTGGAAAATTACCCAAAAATCATCACCAAAACATGAACTTGTAACAAAGGATTTAGTTATCATTGCCAGGTCTCAGAGACAACGGTATATCTCCAGGAGGCTAGGGATGCGAAAGAAAAGCGAAACTTACATTGATACCGGGAAGGTGCGGCTTCTTGCCTCACCACACTCCACTGGTTCATTTCCTGTATTGCCGTCGCTGCCTCCTCTGTGTCCTAAATATGCAGGGACAAGTAGATAAGTTGATGAGAGAACCGGTTTCATGTTTTTTATTGTCATGTTAATTTGTGTTAATATATTTGTGACATGTTGTGTTTAGGACTGTCGAATTCCCATAACAAAAACAGAAATAATTTAACACAAGCACGATCTAAACTATTATTAACACAAAAACCTGTAGTTAATCTTAACAAAAAATGGACAAACAATGACCATGATTCAAGATAAAATACGAAAAGCTATGTGTTTTAGACATTTATGGTTTTTTAACAGATGTTTTTTTAGGTCTCTCGGGACACTATTTATTATTCCGCCTTTGACATGGGAATATAGTGTTTAGTTCGTATCCAAGGTCAACGATGGATCCTAATACTTTCATGGGTTGGTTTTGGCGTCAAGTAGTTTATTAAATGTTGTTTGCAATTTGCAAATAATATACCTATTTAAAAAACTGGCATAACCGAAGGCATTCGATCAAGTTCAAAATCAAAATCTGGATTGTTTTACGTTTAAACTACGTCGTGGCAAGCCACCCAAAATAGTTTTCTTGTGATGAATTTATTAACGATCTGAACAAACAATTCGTGGATCTTTTTACAAATTTAAACTACCTATTTACGATTTCGCCATTTCTAGAAGATTTTTTTGGAAATTTTACATTGCTGAAAATGCTGTTTGTCATATAATATTGACAATATGAAAAACAAAAAAAATAAGAATGAAAAGGTGCACAAAAAGGGTAAAGTTGTAAGGGGAAAATATAATTCCTGCAAAGTTTAGGATACGCTAACTAACGGAAACACTTTAATTCCAAACGCGTGTTGTATTAAAACATAAATGTAAGAGAGTTACGATAGATAGCGAATTAGTGCATACAACTATCAAGAGTTTTAGTCTATTTCCCATATTTTTACCTTCCATTTTGTATTTTCCCAACACTGTTGACAGTTCACTCAATGAAACCTTGTTGATCTTACTATTTGCAATCGGAGAAGGACCTGTAAGAGCGTCAGCCATAGTAAGTGGCACGAGGGCGCAGCAGTAGTAAGGGCAGTTTTGCAGAGTATTGTCGATGTCTACGTGAGATTCGGTGCATGGTTCGTAGGCGGAGGGGTCACCTATGGTTTGTTGCAGTCCGAAGAACGGAGTGGCCACCGAGACAGAGGCCCTTCCCGACGTAGCAAGTCCGAAGGGCCTCCCGGAGAGTCAGAGTACCGTACTCGATATCTGAGCCCTAAAGCTCGTTTACGAAACATGAACATGCGGTGTGACTCTGAGCTATACAACTCTGAACAGGACGCTTCCTTGGTGGTACGCTTCATCTGCTTATCAGTTGCTCAAATTGTGAAAGAGGTTTTTTATTCGTCCGTTGTTGATTTTCACCGTGGTACAAGCTTTATAATGGTATATTGTGTGTTTAGATTTTTTACTAATAGTTAATTTACTAGTCCTAGCCACGTTGCTTCTTAGTTTTGTTATGTATCTTGACCTACTAAAAATTTAATTGCTATAACCAAAAAAATCCGTAGGTCTTGTTAACAGCTGTAATACCAGTTGTAGCTTTTGATCGAAGTTTTTTTATATAATAATCTTTTAAATCCCCCTTCTCACATAAAACCAAAAGGTAATTTCATAGATAATATTAAAGAATATAGCCAAATCTTTCTTTACCATAACTTTTAAGTATTTAATGTTTTATTAGAAATCCAATTTCATAATTTTATATCTTACGGTTATGGATTTTCAGTGGAATATTGACAAAGCAATATATTTAAAAATAATTTAATTAACCAGCAGATAATGTACATTTAAGTAAGATTATGGCCGATTAATTAGTTTTACCGATATCAATTGGTTAAAATAGTTTACCTTATTAAAAAAAAATCTTAATAGCATTCCACTTTACTGTAGAGTTTAACCCCACAGGTGACTGAATGTCTAGTTTGTCAGTCTAAGGTTACCACTACCACTAATCTACCATGTTAGGTAGGCCTACCATTTATCTGTAACACTACTTTTTCCAATTTGCATCACAGATTTCATATATTCCACAGTTCTTTGTTGATAATGGAGTCCCTTTTTTATTCAAATTTCCCTCTTTGTTGCTAAACTCCTAGTGGCAGTGAGTTGCCCTCTCACTTGAAGCGCTGATTGCAGTGTGTAGTGGTTTCAGTCTGAAACCAAAGGTTTACACATAACTTCCTCTATGATGTATTACTATGAAAGTGTTTTCCAAGAAGTTACCTATTTAGAAACTGTAAGTTTTAATTAAAATTAGTTAAAGCTAGTCTAGTTTTTACTAACTGTGTTTTTATAAAAAAAAAAAACATTCAAATACTACTTTAAAAAACTGTGATCAGGCATCACAGAACTATTCATTTTATAGATCTTAATCTTAAATGTGGTGCTATTCTCTTAATAGTGTAGTTATTATTCATATACAAATGCAAATTTACTGGTACTCTAATTACAGCAAATGCCTATCTAATATAGTTATAAATTATTCTTCACTTTAAATAACTACAAATCACAGTATTTATGGCCTAATGTAATTGATTTTGACAAACAGTATTCGTTCTTCAGTATATTTTTTTGAGATATTCAGTATTTTTCTACAGTTATACTTGGGAGGTTCACTAAGAAAAGACGGGATCTTTTTAGCAACATTTAATAATGCTTACCTCTCAATCAATGAATCAACCAACTTCTTCTCCAATCTCTTTCTTATCTTTCAGTTTATCATCAAATCTATGATATTTTTTCACTTGTTAGTTTTTGTGTAAGTACCTATAATTATTCCTTATTAAAATATGTAGTACTCTAATTTGTTAATAATGGTTAATTACCTGTTTTAGTTTATTTTTGTATAAATTAACATTCGTCATTATAAGTAAAATAAAATGAATTATATTATAAAATCTGTGAACATAATTAAAATGTAGTCAAACCAATACTATTCTATGTCCTGTATACTGTTTACATTAAAATTTTCTAAATTCATTATAAAAAGTGACTTTTTAAACACAGAATGAGAATATAACAATTTTGACAATTTTATTAACATTTTTTGCACTGACATAAGTTTAGTTAAATTTATCTGGATTTAATAAAAAAAATAAACATTTTATTTTAATATTTACAAAACATATTAAGATGTATATTGCCTCTTACTATTCGTTTTAGGCAATTCTCATCCAAATTCTAATTCTTATTCCAACATGATCAAAAATCAAGAGTGAAGAGATAAATTTTGGCCTACATTGCAGACAAATACAACTGTTTCTCTCTCATCAATATACATCTGCCAACACTTAACAAAAATCCTCTTTCACAATTTGAAACCCTGCTTCGTAGTGTGGGGCTTGCATGGCATGTAAAATCTCAAAGACAGTGCTAGTTAAGACGTTTGATTTGGCATGTTTGTAGCTTTTAGGATGACAAGTTATCTGATCTGTAGCAAATTTAGAAGTAGTTCAATAACACAGGGATTTCACAAATCAAACAAATTTTATAATGCACAAAATAGTTGGTATTTTAATATATATTGTGAAAAATAACATGCCATAATTGTTAAACTTAAAGAAAGGAATTTTGTGTTATTTTTTTTAACAAAATATACCTTGGACATCAGATGTACATACTCATAGTAGGCCTATCTAGAATATAATCTTCTATAGAAGTGGATGTAACATGATTTCTTCAATACTAAAAGATGGCTCATGAATATATTGTAATTATTTTAGTTTTGTTTGTATTTAACTCTGTGTTTAATTTGAAAACCACTGACACATTTGACTTTTTAATTATATTCAATCTAATCTATCAGTACCTGGGAGCAGACTGGTCTAGTGGTAGAGCGCGGGACTTTGGTCCCTAAGGTCTCGGATTCAAATCCTTTCAAATCACCAGTGGATTTTATTTAAGTGATTATGCCGCAACCCCTAGGTCTAGCCTGAAGTAATGTGAAAAGCAATCCCAAGCTCGTGCCTAGCTTCTTAGGACAGAAAAATCTATCAGTACCTGAGAAAAAAATTAAGAAAATTGAGGGAAGATTATTTGCAGAAGGGTAACATACGGCTTATCTTTCAGTTCTAGATTATCAGACAAATTAAAACAACTGTCTTCACTATTTAAAAGCGTGCACCTCTTTAATAGCCTCATGCATCTATCAGCAAATTTTATAAAGTCAAAACATAGATTTTGAGGGTCTCAAAATCAACTCCCCTGTGCGTATCTTGAGAATTAGTGTAAATCTTTACACTAAATAAAATAAAAATTTTCAGTTTTGGTTTTTTGTTGTTGTAGTTTTAGGAGGTTTACAAGCATGAAAATAAATGTATCTGCCTCTTGCAAACATATCAGTGGTTTATGAAACCAACATAATATTTACCATGGACGGAAACATTTTATACATATATTATCTGAGGGCTTTATTATAAACATTACACACCCCTGAGTAGATTAAATGGCTCTTCCCATGTAGGACATTTGTCAAACATAATCAGTTTGAAATGGTATAGTTTGATTTATTGCAATAGATTCTAAAAGTGTTCTACAATCAGTTCCTAATTTTTGTTTAAATAACGTCAGATTCAGTAATACAAGTAGTAAGAATGAATCGTATTATTGAATAATATTGTTCATTATGTAAAATGAAGAGCTACTGTTAAGCTGATGAGCTTAGCCTGTGTTGTTGATCTTTATGTTTGCAATTGTATTTGTGCATTATAGTATTCCCTCACTTGTTCTAAACATAAATAGATTATTTGACATATGTAAACCAGCTTACACAGCTTACATATTAGTTGCAGTAGTAGGCCAATTTTATTTGATTTACAAATATTTTTATCTACCGATGCAATATTAATATTAATGTTTTGCAATGCTAAAATTACACTTATTGCACTAGACCAAAGCAAAAGTGTACTTAATTTTATATATTTAACAGCTCCATGACCATAAATAAAGGATACTTGACCGTTGACCCTATATCATCTGTTCAATGAGTACTTAAATTACTGTTAAGAGAGACAATCTTTTTTTGAGTCTACAAACAATTAAGAAATAAAATTATGTAATAATTAAAAAATAAAATTATGTAATAATTAAGATATAAAATTATGTAATAATTAAGAAATAAAATTATGTAATAATTAAGAAATAAAAGTAATAATTAATTAAATAAAATTAAGTAGGCTATGTATGATACCATTTGGTTTCCAAAAATTCTTCTTCTTCATATTTAGTAAGGAGGATTCACAAACTCATTTGAATAAAATGTTAGTTTGTTGGTTGAATCTAAATTACATAAGAAAGTTTTAATTTTTATGACAATTATAGTGCTTATAAACACATTGCTTATATCCAACATTGGTATAAAATAACATAAATATAATATTGGTTATAAACACTATTTGAATCAGTGTTTTTTCAATTTTTTTTCTGGGGACACTGAAATTAAATCTCAAGATGATAGATAAACTATAATTTCAGTTTATTTTTGAACAGAAATAGTAGTTCTAGCTTAATATTAGATCAATTCTAATAAATCTATGGTAGCAAAAGTTGATTTAGTTTTTTGCAATGGACAAATTCTTAGTAATGTATTAACGAAAATTTAATTTTTCTTTAGGGAATTACAAACTATTTATTGAAGATGGTTTGGATTTCCTGATCTTCCTGATCTTTGGATTTCTTGACGAAGTCAGGCCAAAGAGTTTAACTAAGGACTTAATCTTGAAAACATGTGATAAAATCTAGTTCACTTAGATCAAGAAATAACCTACTAAAAATAAATTATAAATAATTATTATTCATGAATGGCAAAGTAAAAATGGCTGTTTAGGAACATAGTTATCTCAATTATGTTATCATATTATATAGCTTAAGTTTTATGTTAGTAACGGCTTATGTCATAAGGTTTAGTACTATTGACAGTTACCTTTTAAGTTTGTATTACTTTAAGTCATGTATTTCAAAGTTATAAGTAAATTTACTCAATTTTAATACTAAAGCTCAATTTGATTATTTACAAGGGTTGTCCGTGGATTAAGATCTCCATCACTTCGAAGGGTTCAAATCTATGAGATGATTAGTCATGTCATTGTAATAAAACACTCTTCAGCCAAGTATGAATACTCTGTGATTATGGTTCTGTACAAAGGGGATCAATCCCTGTTTATTACTAGTCTCAGTCTCAGTTGAAAGATATGTATGCATAGAAGTATTTTACAATGGAAAATGTGCATAAGTTGCTAAGAGAGCTTTCTGAAGTCTGTGTACATTATCTAAACGAAAACATGCAGCAGGTCTTTATTAGCTTCCATCGAGACAATGGTTGGCTGATCAGTGTGTTTCAGACTTCCAGGGCTGACCATGGACCTTGATAGACTTATATTAGTTATAAAATCTCTCTTGTACAGGCACACCATGAACTGAATGCAAAACTAACCTAACGTTGGCCACCCCTTGTACATATTATCCGTGTCAAAACACTTTTCTCCATTCACGTCTATCATCTGGCAAAATACAGTACTTCAATAGCGGTTGTGAACTGAGACCATAGAAATCTTATAACTGATTGCAATTCATATTTGGTGGTATTAATTTTCTTTCATAACGTTTTCGAATACTATGACGAGACAACCTGCTAGAATAGTCGTGGATGAAGTAAGGCACATTACGTTGGTTTCAGATTTAAACTAGCTAAGGAGCACGATGGAGGCCTTAATTTAAAGGCAATTCTCATATCTATACTATAAAATTAATTCAATATTGTAATGTAAATCTAAAAGAGTGCAATTTAAATGTGCTGGTCTTACAGCTGTAAAAGACAATATTTTGTAAGTTTATGTCAAGCATTTGGTGTATAATTATAAGTTTTTAATTAATTATTACAAAATACCTGTAGTTAGCTGTTATGGAAAATATGTTATGACAAACTGCACTCAAGTATATTGTTCTGGGAAATTGTGCATTCCCTTAAACAGCACAGCAATAAAAAGCCTGTTAGCGAATTTCATTTAGAACTACTGTAGTTGTAACATAGGTAGCTTGTATACTGTTGTGTCTGATTGTAAACGAACCATACACCTAAAGACAACGTAGACATCATAAATGCTTTATTTGACAAGCAGGGTATGATTGATTTGAAAGCATGATTTGTAGTGATGCCTGCTTAGAAATCATCAATGATCGATTTTTGATTAACAAAACCTTTTTTCATACAAAAAGTTACGTTAAATACTAATATACTTTTTCAATTTTAGATGATAGCGACAGTTCAGCCTAGTGGGGGAGCATTAAAGAATGCCATCTCTCGAATAAGCACTGAATACCGACTGCAGTTCGCTTGGCCGAAGGGGTCAAAGGAGAGGTCAGAAGACAAGAATACAGGACCTCCACGAAAGTCCCTGTCCATGGGAGCTATCAAGCCAGCAGGGAACATAATGCCACTGAACACTGCCATTGCCGCAGTTCACAAGAAGAGGATCACTGACGCTGATCGTAAATTTGGTTAGTAAATACTCCTGAGATACAGCATACAAATATTCCCTCAAAGACATTTTATACAAGATCGCTAAGCAGGATAGAAGGAAGTGACAGCAAATGAAACCATGAATAATTTTTTAAATAAATATAATTGGTCAATTGAGATGGACGCAAGATACTGTATACTATATTCATAATTATCTTAAAACAACATAATATATGTCTGTCCTATGTTAATCATACAATTTCATAAATAAACTAACTGCTTGGTTTCCAGTATTAATTAATACAAATTTAAATTTGTATCACTAAATGATATAATAAATAGGGGATTGACTTCTTGACCAGGGTGGACAGAGGTAAGGGCTTACCCTTGGGAACTAAATTTTTTTGGCTAAGAGGTTGACTGTTTTATGGCTTTCTTATCTCAGTCTGTATTTCACAGCAAATACCCAGGAAAGGACTAGTAAAATTGGCAGCATAGGTGTAATAAGAGTCATTGAACTGCTATGACGATTTTTGATATAGATGACCACTTTTATTTAAGTAAATTCTTCATAAGTCACACTTATTTCAGAAGATATCTTTATTGCATAATAACCCGTACTAACTGTATTTCAGTGCTTAATTAAATTGCTGGTAACATACAAATACCCATTTTAAGTCATTATTTAAATATAGTTCCTTTCAACAACATTTAATAGATTATGTAAATTATGTGTTTACGAACAAAACATGATGCATCATTCTAACCATACTCAATACAAAATCAAAGAAAACAAGTCTAAAATATGCTTAATATGTAAAGTATAATTGGCTAATTCAAAATCCTTTCTACAGCACAAGTGACTTTATCAAGTGTAATTTTGATGTTAAATTTTAATTAAAACAAGCTATTATGCCTAATTAATTGTATTTTTTATGATATTTTGATGTATCAGAAACTTGATTGTATTTAGATGATTATTTTGTAATGTACCGGTATATGACGTGTCCTATTTCTTTGTAAAAAGATCAATGGAATAAATGATTCTTATTCTTATTCTTATGAAAGTAATATTTTGTTTTCATAACTTAGATACACGATGATGTACTTGTACAGAAACATTTCTGTTACGTGTGGTGTGACACAAAAATGTTTTATTGAAAAAATATTAAAATGGACGAGTGTCAGAAAATGGCAACTGAAATTATACATTTATTGGTTATTATTAATATACGTTATATAGAAATTTCTGTTTATGTTAACTTTGACTTCGTTGATTTAAATTACTTTGATAACCAACATAACTCAGTATATTTATTTATTATTTAGTGTGATTTCAGTATACTGGATTAAATAATTTACCAATTACGCTTGAGGCATTGTTTTTGGAAAGAATGTATTTTGTTTTGCATTCCTAAATTCCTGACTACAAATAAACGTAACATAATTATTTGTCTAGGGCCAGAGCTAGAACCTCTGGTTGGCTGGGGGGCGGACTCTCAGGACGATGGATGTATGCAGGACGACGGAGGAGAAGAAAAGATTCAGGAAGAATCTCTAAGTAAAGAAGAGAAGAAACTTAGGTTGGTATTTATCTGCTGTATGTAGATTTATCATACTTCAATTGATTGGAAACAATTCATTTTGTGTAGACATACATGAAAACGCTTATATTTATATTAACAAGAATTTCTGTCAACCATTATAAATGGGATGTAGCATATTAGCAATAGTTTGATCTATTGTAAAGTTTTATTGTACCATTTGCAATGGAATATTGTATGTTTCACATTGTTGCATGATTACATTTTTTGAAAGTAACGTACACAAGCAAAGAAAAAGTTGTTTTTCTCTTTGTTTGGACGGAATTAATATTGTTTCTGTTTCAAAGCCAATTGTCTGCCAAGTTGTCTGCACGCTCAACCAAAGTTATCATGGCAACTACCTTAAACAACACTCTTCTCACACTTCATTCTAATCTTCTTCTTTGGTTGAACGTTTGTTTTGATGTTATATAAAAAGTTTGTACTGCTCTTGGGTTCAAACTTGTTATATTGATCAGTAATTAGAAATCAAGTTGAAACAGAGGACATTGACCTCTCTTTTTCAGTTTGGAAAAGCCTTGGACATTGACCTCTCTTTTTCAGTTTGGAAAAGCCTTCACGGGCTGAGTGATCCTGGGCCCCCTATTTTCCTGATTTATTACTTAGGCAGCCGTGGTCATGTCCAGCTGCCTCCATGCCATTTTGTTACACGATTAACAACAGATTTCTAAAATGCCTAATAGTTTGATTAATTCACGTGCTCACAGTTGCAACCTTATTCAAGTCAAAAATTAAATTAATACTTAGTAAACTGGAAAACCATACTAAACTTTTTAACTTAAGCAGATTACATGTACAGAAAAAAAATTATTTTTGACCAGGCAGGGCCCTCTTTGGAGCCCCGGACTTCGGGGCTCTAGACCCCCCTGCCCCACCCTCTAGCCGGCCCTGCCAAAACATAATATTTATGATTCATCATAATATTTGATTCAACTAATCTTTCAATGAAAAACTAAATATCTAGTCCTAGTTAAATACTAACCACGAGTATATCTTCTTTTACAGTCAAGCTGGGTTCAATAGTGAATACAAGAAAAAATTCCGGCCATTTTCTCAGTATGAATATGTAGAAGGCAAATTTAAAGCCAAGGAGAAGCCAGAGCCATTAATAGTTCAGGATGGTGATTCGTGGTACCGAGAAGTATTGGAGCTACGCAAGAAAGCTGGAGAGTACAAAGTAAAGACATATCAACTTTTATTTATTTAGTTAACACGTTGAGTGCGGCCTTCATTATTTAACGTAGTGCGAGACTGGCGTGCCCGGCGGCCTATGTTAAACTATATAGCACTCTAAACTCTTTTAAGTATTGATAGTGTGAGGTTAGCCATCGCCGTGAGATGTTGTTTTGCTTGGAGTTTATTGTGCTAGTTTTATACTTCAATCCGGTATAATTCTTTTTAGATCCGACAAATATATCGGTGGTAGGACTCTTCCAAATTTTGTGTAAGGTTGGGCTTTGTCTTGGATGTAGTAAAATGGAATTGAAGAACAATAATTACTGTAGTATAGCATTGTGGAAGGAACCTAACCTTAAAATTGTGTTTGGCGCCTTTATTGCGGTATTTTACTATTATTAACTGTGTATCCGGTATTTTTCCCCCCACTTTTTCCCTCCATTTGGCAATACTAAGAACCTGCTAGCAGTTTTGTTTAGTGCTGCTATCTATTTGGTTAATAGTACTACGTTCACAACGACTGGAACACAGTACATGCTACAATATGCCTATCATTTGGATGAAACAAAATTTTAATTTTTTCGCGCACTCAACCAAGGAGCGCATTAGCTTTTCCCACCACTGGCTTGCGGCCAGCGCGCAAGCGCACTGAACGTGTTAAGCTTATTATCCTATAATATTCACCTGAGTTTTGGTTAAATTGTTACTGTTAAAAAGAATGCAATGAAACGCCAAAGCATCTGTTGGCAGAGGTAGTAGATTACAAGAGAGATAAGTGTCTGGGAGTGTCCAAGGTAGCAATTAGGGAGATCCCCCTGTTACAACCCCATTTAGAATCTAGATTTTGTCAAGGAATTAGAGCTGAGGGGGTGCTATAGGTAGGACTGGAAACAAGTTTTGGGAGACAATAAATCTTTGAGGTTCTTCTTCCCCCATAAACTTTAATATCATTTTAAGTAATTAAATTAACTTTGCTTTATATACACTAATAAAGTATTTAACAACTTATAATTTCCCATTATTATGTGTAACGACAGAAGAAAAAGATCAAACTTCCAAAACTCATTGTTTTGTTTATCCGAGTTATACTAACAACAAGACAAGACTTTCAAATGTTCCATAATAGTATTTGTCAGATATCTGAAACATTTTTAATGTGGATAATACTGTCAGAGCTTTAGTCTCATTCATAAGTAATATAGTTGAGACACGAGTTTGACTGAACCTTCCACAAAAGCACTAGATAGTGCTTAAGGGCGCGCTTTACCCCTGACGCGCAACCGAATGCAAGGGTTTGCAAGATTTCTGTTTTCACCTGCTACATTGAAGGTAGAATCAAAGTTAATGTCTCATATTAAAGAGGATGAAATTTTCTATAGTTCTTTGTTTCTATATTTCAATTATTTTAAATACACACCTTATAAACTTGAGTTATAGTACAAGAAAAAAAAGGGTCTTTTCAACTAGCCTTAACTTTAAAAAAAAAAACGTTTTTTTAACATTTGAAAAACGCAGAACTATAGATTGGTCTTTGTACTACTATAAGCCGTTTAGCTATCATTATTTGTTAATTCTAAAACAGTAATCTTGGAAACGTCTGCAAGCGCTTCTGGCAGCGCTGTCCAATGGTGAAACATAGCTACTGAAGCCCGAGCTGAGGTAAAGCGCACCCTTAATAGACATAAATGTTTAGGGCTGTTATTGGACAAATCATACGTAGTGTCAGGCTATAAAACGTAATTTGATGACTCTCCTCGTGATTTGCCCATTTATCATGATTTGGACTAAGCTAGACTTCTTAGCATCCTGCATGTAGCTCTGTAAATGGGGATCGTTTTACTATTTTAGATTTTATCTTAAGAGAAATTTACTTATGTACAATTTTTTAGGTTTTTTTTTATAAATAGAACTGACACTTATGACTGGTCTGAAAAGCTATATTATATAAACACCCTTTTGGCTGTAAAAAAGATGATTTTTTAACTCACATATTTCATTTAGTTGTCAAAAATATAAATGTTGTTACTAACCTGCATATTAAATTAAAAAAACGTAGGTAATAGTTAGTTAAATTTTTTCTAATTCCTGCCTTAATGGATGATATGGCTTGTTTCAGCATCGAGGATGGGGTACGGAGCTGGTTCCTCAACACATCGCCGAGTTGTACAACAAGCAGATGACACTGTGGGAACAAGTCTCACGAAGAAGCTCTTTATCAGCTCTTAGTCTGGCTTCCACTACTCCTAGGTAAAACAATCCAAATCTAAACATTCTTCAACTGACATCTAAAAGTGTAAAGTACTCCTACAAGACATCATAAGCATTTTTATGTCAATGGTTAAATTGAGCTCATTGCACATATACTAATAAGACCTTAAACTCAACAATATCTCCGCAAGCCAATTTAGTTTTATTGTTTTCAAAGATTAAAGTACATGCCATTAGAAGGTTTTTTAAGAAAAAGCTTTTTAGTAAGGTTGATGAAGAGGTGCACAGCGTTATATTATATAATCTTGGTTCCTGATTTAAGATTGTTTGGTTAGCAGAGTGCTTGTATTAACCGCCAAATCTTAAGGCTGCTGCTACGATTTCCAGTGAAATGGGTTCTAGACTCAGACACCATTTATTGTTGGGCTATCAATTAATGAAGCTGACGAAAAGTCAATGTTTGATAATAACAAGAGCAATGTTTTGGACCGTTCCCTTAAAAAAGTAAAAAATACCAATTGATTGGTAAACATATAAAAACAAATTTTGTTCCAAGACCTGCTTATACATGACACTCAGACTGTTACATGTATCAAGGTTTCAGGAAAGAGTCATTTCCGCATTCATTTCGCAAACTGAAAAGTAATACAGAGTGAAGCAAGTAACGTTTACGACGTTTAAGATGTCTGGCCTTCATTGGTACTACACCACTGGTGGTTGAAGATTTAAAGTTAAAATATGTTAAACTTACTGGTGTTTCTATATGATCATTTGTAGTGTAAACTAGCTACAGTTGTCTGATGCTGTGGAAAATGGAGCACATCCTCACATCAGAATGCCTAGATTCCTGTATACGAACAAATACCTAATGTTGGGGTTCATAAGAAGCTAAATCCATCACAAAAACTAAATTCATGGTTTCAGTTAACAAAATAACCATATTGGCTCTTGTGTTCCAGATCAATAAGTAAAGAGGAAAAAGAAAAGGAGAATAACAAGAAGAGTTCACCAACAAAGCCATCCTGGTCTCGCCAAAGCCCTAGTCGGCATATCAGTCCACAGAAAAAGGTTATATATCTGTTGATATTAGATAAGATATATCTGTTGATATCTACAGTCGGTTTTCATCTCCGTAGTACTGAGATTGCGGTGGTGGGAGGTGGCATGGCTCTGCTCTACACAAGACGCTATTTCATTAATTCAGTCACTATGGAACAGTGGGACTTGCAACGTTGATTGTTTGGCTAAGGCAGTTTAATGAGAAGTGGTGACAGCTACACAGCGATTGTTTCGTGCACGGTTTAATGTCGGTCGACATTGAGCTAATGTTCCGAGCCGTAATACAATCCTCAGACGGGTGAAAAACTTCAGATTGATTGGAAACACACTGTACTAAAAATTTGTCTAACCGATTCATGATTAATTCGTAGCTCACTAGCGTGACGTCTAGCTACCCTTACCCTTTCAACATTTTCTGGCGTCGTTACACTGCGTTTTGGGCTAGGATGCCTCTTATCCAGTAATTTTCCAGTCCATCAAGAGTTTTTCACTCATCTGAGGATTGTTTTACGGCAAAAAACAGCTCAATGTCGACCGCATTTAACTGTGCACGAAATAATCACTGTTAAGCTGTAATAGACTCACCACTTCTCATGAAACTGCCAAGAACAAACAATCAACAATGCAAGTCCCACTGTTCCGTAGTGACTGAATTAATGGAACGGTGTCTTGTGTAGAGTAGAACTATGTCCATCACGACCACCTCCCACCACCGCACTCTTAGTACTACGCAGATGAAAACCGTCTGTCTTCCGTGTGTCACCCTGTATATGGCAGTGTTGGGAAGTAGCGCGCTACAAGTAGCGACGCTACAGTAGCGCGCTACTTTTTTTGTAGCGTTAGCTGTAGCGTCGCTACTTTTAAGATTTTGTAGCTTTAGCTGTAGCTAGCTACATTTTTAAAGTAGTTGTAACGGAATTTTAGCTACTTTTCTCGCTACATTAACATTGTTTGAGATAGTGATTTTTACCATAACCTCAACCTTACGTGAAACAACATCTTTCAATCAAACTGAGATTTTCAAAACAATTAGGCCTACTTTCTTGGCTTCATACAGCTGGTTGCAGCCGTTTCATTCCCTATTACAACGTTCTGTGGACATGGAGGCCATTAAATGAGTGTTATCCTTATTTTTAGCTCTCATTTCCTTAATTTACTACTCTATGATTACTGTCAGATAAAATAAAATCGCTAGATGCAGACGACGTTTAAACGTTACCGATACCAGTGACAAGACAAGCTATTGAATGCTTGCAAGTGATTGACAGGGAAATTAGTAATCAATTTAGTTTCTTTGTTATATCGATAGTGTTTTAACTAGGGTTTTTATGGAAACCAACACTAAACCTTAAAATAATGAGAAAGCTGGTCTATCAACCTTTGCTTCAGCTGTTAATTGTGGTTCATCATTACAAGCCCTTCCTTGGTTGGATTACAAAGATTTTTCAAAGGTTTACTAAATTAACGAAGAGGAAATTACCTGATGAGATTTAAGATATGCCTAGACTACATGATAATTGTAACGAAAAAATCTCCATATAACATGAAACTTACATTTAAAAAATAGCATAGTTTGCTCCTGCTAACAGCTCTTGTATTGGACTATTCCTAGGCTATGCTATGGTTTAAGACAAATACCAAGTTCAATTATTAGGAATATATCTGTTTAGTCCTTGCAAGAACAAAGCTACTATAGCCAACTTGTTACATAGCCAAGTAGGCCTACATGTTATTTTTACTTTACACATTTCAACATGTTTAAATTAAAAGCCGATTTCAGGATAAGTTGCTGAATACTGTTTTCTGTACCAACTAGGTTGAACCACAATTTGCCATATGCATAATGACAATAAAGGACGATTTCTTGAGATTGAAAAGTGTTATTCATAGAACAAGTAACTTATCACTATGGTTAAAAGTTATAGCAATGTCGTTTTTAACATTAAAAGTAAAGAAAGGCAATACACTCCAATTTCAATAGGCTAGGCTCTGTAACACAAAAAAGTATTTTTAAATAATCGTTTTACAGTTTAAGTGGTCTTAATTGTTGATATAAGACATTTATAAATGAATCTATATTAAAGAAATAAAATGAGCTTTTAAAATATAGTTTGGTTGTATGTCCTTTGAACTTAATGAAATTTACGTATAAGATGTTTAAAAATAATGCAATATTTAAAAATAAGTACTAAATATGATGGGACACCCAACTATTTGATACTGTTGTTGTAATGTTAGGTTTTTAATGCCAACAAATTAAATAAAATCTAGGAATAATTTGTTTTCCAAGTAATGTTAGATACAATACTGACATTTCTTGTTTAAATGTTTGTTCAATAAAAATGTTGTTGCAATTAATTTTAAATTTACCTAATGTGCGTGGAATAAAAAGTAACATCTTTGGGAAAGTAGCTAAAATTGTAGCTGTAGCTACATTTCATTGTAGCTGTAGTTGTAGCTAGCTACTTTTTCGGAACTGTAGCTGTAGCTGTAGCGAAGCTACTTTTTTGGAAATGTAGCAGTAGTTGTAGCTAGCTACATTTTAAAAGTAGCTTCCCCAACACTGGTATATGGTCATATTTTACTTGAAACGTTGAATGGACATCGTGTTTGAGTATCCCTAGTAGGGGTACTCTTACGCCCATAAAATTAAATTTTTATAATGTGACTAAATCTGGTTTGTAATATTTACAAATTCTTTTTCCTTCTTCATCCAACATTTTGGGATTTGGAAATCTCAAACGGCTTATTGTTTTCCTTTTAAAACATAAATTTTAAATTGATGATTATATTCTCTTTGTTTTTCATTAAAGAACAAAAGCAAAGTACTTTTTCTATCTTAGCCTTGATTGTATATAAAGAACTTGAGGGGAGCACAGTGGAGCCACATTCAAGAACCTCACCCTCTCTAGAATTTTTCAAACTAACAAAACTAATTGGTTCTCTTTTATATAAATTTTAAGAAAAATACCAAATGATATTTTGATGTAACTTAGTGTTTTAGTTTACTGATTTTGTGATTACATCATCATCACAATTTCCAAAGGGGGGAGAGAATGAGAGGGACTCTAAAGGATTAGAATGGGGGTTTTATAGATCGCAGCAGTTTCAGTTCTGGTATTTCTATAAATCAAGAACAGGATTTGAATATACTCTTTGAGTTATTATCAAAATCACCATTAAGACCAACAATCATCTGACTTATTATTGTACAAATAGAAAACCATACCTGATCAATCACAGCCAAACGTAGATTATAATGTGTAGATGTTTGGATAATTTGTCAACAGCAAAGAGAGAGAAATGATCAAAGCTGAATTGTATCATAAAACAAGTTTAACCTATCCAACTAGTTCTTATTCATTAAAAAATATGTCTTGTTTTCTTTATAACAACCAAGGCTATTCAAGATCTTTACTATGTAATGTCTCAGTAACACAGTGAGATGTTAAAGTTGTCAAACTGTGGCAGAAACTGGTAGTAGGTTCTTATAACTTAAAAAAAACATGCACAAACATGTTTATTTGAGTGATAAAAACATGAATAAGTGGGATTTGAATATAAAATGTCATTTTCCTCCCTCATAAAAAAGTGTTTGAGGAAATAAGTTTTATGCTTCCATTTTTTTAGGTTGAGAAATCAGATGATAATCGGAAGGAAAGTGTCAGATCCAGAAAGGAAGCAGGAATTCGTCATCATTTTGAGAGAACTACTGGGGCAGGTGATTATTTAAGTTTACTAAGTCCTCTTTTAAAACACATAGTGAACAATATCAACTTAGTTAAAATATTAGTGTTTAAATAATGTAACATTATGATATGAATAATTATAGATGATTTTGTTTGAAGCCCCAGAGCCTTCTCACTTAAGATACAACCATGTACTAAATTCTATTTATCTAGGAGAGACTTTTTCAAAACAGGAAGTTAGCTATTTATTTATTTACTTTTCAAATACAAAAGCAAAAAAAGGTTTTTTATCTAACTATCAAGATAGGGCCTACATTAATAATATTGTGTGGTTTATCTATAACCATAACCTTATCTTATAGTATTTTGAAGAGGAATGTAGCTATCCATTTATATATACTTCTATGTATTGAATTTGATGACCTCACAAAACCAAATCTAAAGGAATCAGAGGTACAATGCCAAAATACTAGATTGAAATGAATTTGTAATGGATTGTTTAAAAAAATTCCATCAGTACTCTTTTTAGTATCCAAAGAGGATTTTGTACATATTTTCTAGAAAAGAGTCAAATAGCAAACTGAGATATAAATTTAAAATACCAGACTCACCAATGCTACCAATTAAGATGGGTAACACATTGTTAAGAGAAAGTTTAATTTCTGTCACTGATTATATGCATGGGTCTTGAACCTTAGTTTGTGCATTAAGTGTTCTATTTGTATTTACATTTCCTTAACTTTGAGATAAATAACCTATTTTATTTATTTATCATCATTTAGGTTTGTTTAGCTCTTGGAATAGTATATGATTTATTTTTATTTATTTTAAAACCTCAACTGCATATCATCACAGACCTACTGTTGCGATATAATTCAAATAAGTAAGACTCAACTGGTCTCAAACAAAAAACTTTCTGTTTCTATTATTGTAAATTTCATTGGGTGATCAAAAAAATTTGCTAAATTATTTTAGTGTTTAGATTACTTCATTTGTTTTCATAATAAATGAATTTTTCATATTATTTTACATCAAACACTCTGGAGATCCAAATACCAACCTTTTTACAGTTGATACATGTTAATAAATTAAATAATTGAATAAACAAATATGGAAGTGTGAGTCCATATAGTATCTAATTATCTACAGTGCTCGATTTGCGGGGGAACGTGGCGGAATAGAGTTCCGGTACCCAGTAGCGGCTAGCCCATAAGGACTCTCGGACGCCGCCCTCCCAACAATACAGAAATCAATATTTTTTTTATTTATGTAATAAAAAAATAATATGTCGTAATTAAAATTAAATTACAATTACTTACGACTACTTAATCAATATGATAATAATATGAAATGAAATAGTTTTACATTTTGAATCCAGTAATGACTGTTTTGCGATAGTCGCTTTCATAATGTGGATTGCGGACGGCGGCAACCTCCGTCCCAAACTCAATGCATGTAGTCTTATGGTAGAAACACCTAACAGCGCTGAGGGTGCCGTGACGTCATTCCAATGCTTTACAATAGGGACTCTGGGGCAGAGTCCAAAGCTGCGCGCGCATCCATAAATCAGGGCAGCCACCCTAAACTGGATAATTCTGCATCACACACGATTAGGATAGGAAGAACCATGTTGGCAGCGCTGGAGCCATCATCCACACTGTCACTACCATAAACATAAACTAACCTCACTTCTTTCCATGTCCATGACCACAGTGACAGTTCAGTTATAGTTTAGTGCCAAACGACCTGTTGTTTTGTGATCAATAGTGGTTTAGTGATAGTGATGGAGGCGTAAGGAAGGCAGCGGTAGTTTGTTGAAGATTGAAAGAGCTAAGTAGAAATTATGAATAGTTATACTTAATTGATTGAGTTAGTTAGTTGGTATCTTTGAGTCAATAAGTTACGTCTGTAGTTTTAGTATAGGCTAACCTAATCAACCCGATAACTAAGTAAACTAACCATAGGTAAAGTGACTCGGACAATTTTAGTTATAGTTACATATTATTAGTCTTAATAAGTTATTACGGGTAAATTTGCCGTGGGTTGAAGGCCTAAATCTAAATAATAATGGACGGCGGCATTTCGTTGTCGTCGACGGCTAACGTCACTAACGAAGTTAGCCTGATTATCAATGAATGCATTATCTATTCATATTTAATATAGGCCTAGTTCTATTAGGATAATAAATCTGATCTATTAAATAAATTGGTAAAAACTATAAAAAAAATATACTTTACTTTACTCTACTTATGTCTATTCTCATGCATGACAAACAACAGGTGAAATGGGAGTTTTTGGACTATTATTGGACACAGTTTTAGGCGTTAAAATTGCTTCAGAAAGTCACCAAACGGCTTTAAAAATTTAAAATTACCAACTACTTTAAAGATACCAACTAACTAACTCAATCAATTAAGTATAACTATTCATAATTTCTACTTAGCTCTTTCAATCTTCAACAAACTACCGCTGCCTTCCTTACGCCTCCACACCCCCCAAACCCCCCGGAGCCCCCCCCTAGACAAGGTCCTAGAGCCGCCACTGCCGGTACCTCTCTTTTGGAAATATAAAAATATTGGCAAAAATATAGTTACAAATCACATTAAATAGGTTACAGTTCCGGCACCTCATTTTCTACAAATTGAGCACTGAATATCTATGTCTATACTAACTAGGTATAAATCACTTGTCGACTAAAGTGTCCAATACTTCTTCTTTCTGATTTGGCAATGACTGATTAACCATATCTTAAAAATTGATCAAATAACACAAGAGATAGTATACGGTAGGGATTGAATATTGGAGACAAGCAAAGATATAGCCCAAAAGTAAAATTGGTTATCATCTAATACTACATGGTAGCTTTTTTTAATTCCTTATGAATCAAATTGCAAACTCATTAGCACAAAACCAAAAGGCATATTTTTTAAACCCTTGTAGGTTTCAAATTATTTGCCTCTTATCAATGAATTGTTTAAATAAGAGACTAGGAGATTTTTCCTGTCCCTCTTGACAAGGAAGAGTGTTTTCATTATTAACAGCACAATATCACAACCATTTGAAAGTTTAGTGGACAGGGTTATACTTCCTTCGTGACATGTACTAGATCATGAGGGACTAAATTAGATAAAAAATACTTCATAATCAGACACAAAATATTTAAATAGCAAACCCATAACAATGTACTCATAACTAAAAAATCGTTAACATATTTTACAATTTATTATTAACCTCATAATATTTCACTTATGGACGCCATTCTTTATTGAGCATGTACATCATCACATATAGGACATTATTATTTCCATCCACCAACTAGATATTTGCAAGTTTCTACAGACCCTGCCGTAGTTGTTTTTGTAAGAGCTTTGAGTTTATTTTCCCTTGTCGGATGGTGTAGTTGATGGGGTGTTGTTGCAATCACCAACCCGCGAGAAACTTGAACCTGTTATTCCTCGACGCAAGGAAGATAATACCGAAGTTAGCAAGAATGCTCAAAAATCAAGTCACTATACGTCAGGTAATCAAGGTTGTTTAAAATATTTCCAGATGTGTAGAATAGAGTAGTAGCTAGACATAAAGAGACGTTTTGGTATAACTATGGGTAGATATAATTACCGGAACGCTTGAAGTATATCACAACCATTCGATTAGGTTTCGATGAACTAAATATTTTCCTCCAATGACACTTGAATCCGAAACTCTAAATTTAAAGTCTATATGATTAAATTGCAATGAAATTACTATTCATGTTATAAAACTGAAAAACACAGTAGTCCCAATAGATAAAACTCAGGAATACTGATAATATTATTGTTTTAGAATTTTCAGTTAGTAAAATAATGAAAGGCTATAAAATAAGTTAGATTGTCTAATGCTCTGTACGCTTTGACTTATAAAAACTTTCCTATGCTCAGTAAAATATACTTTCTTTAATCTTTAGAAAAACTTTATTCCACCTACAGTAGCCTCCCTCTCGTTCTGCCACCTCGGGACTGAACTACAGGCCGAACTAAAAAATGGCCGTACTAAACGATGATATATAAAGAAGGATACTTTTACTGTCGTAAATGGACTTTTAAGTACAACCCAATATTTGTAAAAAATACTTTGTACCAATTCACCTTTGTATATTCTCTCTAGAGCTTGCAACCCACTGTTGCATTGTCACGTTTTCGTTTGCACTCATAATAATGTATATAACTTATAAATACTTGAAAAATCTGTTATCAGTGTTATGTTGCTAGGATGGTAGGAAAGACGGATTTCTCTTTACCGGTTTGTTAGTTTTGTGACTCCCTCCTTGTGTGTTATTGTGTGGTTCTTTGAGAGAGTGAATATAACATGATAATTGCTTAGGGGTTTCTACATATAAAAAGAAGCATGAGTTTAGCACAGCTCTTTTCATTTCAAACCCAGGACCTTAGCTTTTATAATATGAAACAAGAAGATAATCATTATGAATCGTACTGTCTTTCGTGTCTTTTTCTTATTATGTGTTTCTCTACAAATGGTTTTTCATGATTTCAAGGGTCCTAACTCTTGTCTTGTTTAATGTCTAACTGTCACATAGTGTTAGAAAGCATCTTTAATTAATAGATTAAAACTGTGCTTGGAACCCAGCAAACTTCTGATTTGAAAAAAGCACTAAACCTCCCAAAAACTACTCAATTTAAAAGGGATTTTAAATTTCATAGTTTTGATTAAAGTTGTTTTGCTAAATGAAATGGGAGTGTCGATAGGAATGTCAGAGTACAAGGGGCTTTTTTTAAGTACGGGCCATTTGCACTTATAGCTCTATAGATTGCGTTTACACAGCAACGAGCCAGTTTGCTGATCACTGGCATAATTCTTTAACAGAATTGCACCTCTTTCAGCATGGTGTTTTCAGCTGATGCGTGTTTTGATTGCAAGAACTATCCAATGTTTCAAATTCTAATTCATTTTCAAATTACTGAATTTTATGGCTCCTATTGCAATGAGTAAAGGTTAAGTGCGGATATGGGTTAATGATTTAAAAGTGGCAGTGAAAATGTCCATGATGAAGAACGCTTAGCCCGTCTTTAGCTTTGGAATTGACTTGGGAGGTTGAGTACCATGAATGAATTATTGCTTGGATTTAGGGGTGGTATGAAATAGTCATGTTTTGTCTCCAGTACCGATTTGACTCAATATTTCACGCCCTTCTTCCTTGCAAAGCATCAATATATCCAAAACACTAGTTTATAACCTCTTACCTGTTTTTTCTTCTGTGAGAAGTCTGATCTCCAAAATGGACACTTCTTCAGTCATTTTTAAACCCACTAACCCATTTCCACACTTTAACTTCACTTGTTGCTTTAGGGCCATTTCAGTCATCTGGTGGTAAATGTTTGCATCAGATATGTTGCCTACAGTCAAAAAAACGTATCACTGACCTTATATCGGATGTGACAGCGAAGCGTACACGTCAGCTTCAGAGCTGCAAATGGCGGGATTCGGCAAATAATGCTAGCAGGCAGCAAGCCACCTCGTTACTGTGTACATGCAAACGACGGAGCTATATGCACAAATTGTCCTTACTTAAAAACATCCCTCGTATTACTGATGGACATTCTATTAGTTTGGAGGGGCGTTCAATGCCCATATCTTTTTGGGACGGCGACATGCCCAGGCGCCAGAGTACCCAGATAAGCATGTAGTATACTCTAGTTTCTTCAACAGCAAAAAGATTTACGTTTTACAAGTTCAATACACGTCCAGTCCCAAACTGACAAAGAGCAAAGTGCAAAGGGCCTTTTTGTAATGAATAACCAAAGATATTGATTGATGTAAACTTCGAGCGGTTTAGTGTAAATATAGCACTATTATATTGGAGAAAAGGTTTCTGTTTCTGTATTTGAATAACTGGGTGATATGAAAGATCATGAACAGAAGATCATGATATGAAAGATTCATAAAAACATTTGAATTTAAATATTCTAAAACCTCTGGGTTGTTGCTAGAATCTAATGAAAAGACATTATTATTTACCCCTTTCTCACTTGAGTTGAAGTTTCTATAATTGTTTTGTATAAAAGCTTATACACAGTTAGTACATGTAACTTTCTGGTTTGTATTACAAATTGATTGGTAATAGAAACTTCCTGAGCTTGGTGGGATTTTTCAGGGAGGTCCCAGTCCGTTGGTCCCACTACCACACACTCTAGCGAGAACCGTTCACCAAAGAGAAGCGCAAGGGGTGGCCCAGCAAGCAAGGTGCAAGCTAACGGACCAATCTCTGAGAAGAGGACGAGGCCTAGTGAGTTATATTGCGGGATGCTCAGCATACCTAATTCAATACCTTTTGATGAGTATTGAGTATTTAAACTATTTACTTGAGATTACTAACCCAGGTAAATAGGCAGATGACAAAATTATGAACTATTAAGTTTTGCGGTGGATATAAACCTTCCTTGAATTTGGTCATAAGTTTATTCTATCCAGTACTATCTGACACTGACTAATAAATGTTCAAGTCTTTTTCCCCTGTTACATCAGATTTAAAATCCATTAAAAATGTATTGTTTACAAGAGATCGAAAACTATATTAATTTCCCAGATAATTATTTGTTTTTACAAGTACAGTAATGAAACATAAAATCAGTAAATATATATAACCCAATGCTCATTTACAACACTAATTAGGCAACGGGGTTGGCAGGCATTGCATACTCCAGCAATCATAACCACTCATCAAGGTTTCAAGGTTATAGAAAGGGTCTTAGTGAGTAAGCTAGAAAGATAGGAAGTGCTTTTGCATTTCCATTGACAGATTCACTACAAACTGATGGTATGTAGTTTTCCCTTTTTCATACTCTATCTGGTGGACGTTTGTTGCCTGTTTAGTGGTCAATGTAGTAAGTTTCTATCTACCTATAGATATTCCGCATGAGCACTCTCCCAATATCCATAACAGTCTATATGGCTTTTGGACTATAGGCCAATTTAGATATATAGTTAATTGTGATGTCTAGAATATGTACAATAAGTGTACATTTTGTGTTTAAGCTTGACACACGTAATTTACCAGAACTCGGATCCTGGCCCATGCATGTTTTCTTATTGGTCTTCTCTAACTACACTGCTTTGATAACATTTGGGATTTGGGCTCAAGGATACAAGAGAGTTCCAATTATCATCATGCTTGATTCTATATTTTGTATTTTCTGCCGTTTATTCATAATCTAATCTTAGTTTTTTTCACTATTATGTAGAGTAAATTGCTTAGGGGAAAACCTAACCTATCCTAACCTAACCTATTGTAGATTTTATCAGTTGTAGTTGCTAAAGAGTTTTAATTTTTATATTTTTATATCATTTAAAATATTTGATAAATTAGATTTCCAGGTAAGACAGTTTAGTGAGTTTAGTATTAATTGTTCTGTAAACAACATTGTATACTTTGCTTCCTGATTTTAAATTTTGTAAACAATGGTATTTTAAAGGATATTGTAAATAAAGGAATAAGTATGAGCTTCACAGTTATATACAAAAAATATGTGAATACAATGGAATGTTTTGGAATAGGGGTTTTTCAGGAGTCAATGGATTTTAGGCCAATTGATATCAAATACAATTACTTTAACAAAGCATTAACAACATTCAACAAAGCAACAAAGACATTTTGAAACAGCATGGTTTGAATCAGGTAAATGATATAAGATACTGACAAATTGACTAAAAATTGGCGTTGAAAGGCAAACCTATCAAACAATTATTAAATTTGTGTTAATTAACAAATAGTGAATCAGATTTTACTTCCAAGGTAACAATATTTAAGGCAGAGGAAGCATTTTATACCAAATTAATCTTTATGCACTTAGAAAAGCATGTTTGTATAAAAAATAAAATTAATTTTTGTACAATTACTTAGATTACAATTTAGATGAATTAGTGATTTAATTGAATTGCAGCTTTTGCATTTCATTAGACTAAAAGCATTGCAAGAAAGTTGGTTGTGGTGATATTGGCTGCTTCTATATTTATTTTCAGGTCGCTTGTTTGTTAAGCGTTACATCATACATCATGCTGGCTATATTATTTCATTCTATTGTTTGGTAATGAAAATCATTTTATTTTAATGTGTTAACAAATTATTTGAATGAACTTATCTATTTGAATATCTGACCATACTTAATTACTCGTGCTTTTTCCCTTGACACTGTTGAAGAAACTGCCTGCTTGTATTGTAATTGGCGGACCTGGTTCCTTTAATCTTTATTTGTTTATGAATTGTTTCATGTCTTAGATTAGCACATTTTAAGGTTTAGTGTTTCTTAGCTTACTTTCTTTGTCTGTCTCTCTTTAGCCACCTTAACCACCACTGCCCCTTCCCGAACCAAAAGTAGCTCAGGTAGCAGAAGAACACCAAAAAGTGGTACACCCAGAACCGGTTTCAAAGCCAGTGAGTACATTTAACTTCCTGTGACACATTTAACTTTTCAGGTTCACTCTGGACTATTGTCGCACCGATATTGATGTATGTGTAATTTGCTTAACCTTAGACTTGTTAAATGAATGTTAAATTAAATCTAGGCTTTCAAAAATGTCTCTGATCTTCTAAGCAAATATATTTTGGCAACATATTTGCCTACTCTAGTAACATTGCTTAGTAACAATTTCAGTGATATGTTACTCACACAACATGCACTATGAAGGGCTTGGGTGAGTACATGTAATTGTTGCACACAGTTGTTACTTTTTAAGCTAGTACATTCAAATTTTCCTCCCGAGCATCTTATATTTGAGAGTGACGTTGTCTTGTAGGTGCAGGGCTGCAGCTACACATTTTTCTGGGGGGGGAAGTCCTAAATTTGCTGCCCTTTCCCCTCCGCAACTGTGGATTTTTTAACACGTTCGCTACCAAGTGTCGCATATATGCGACGCCGTGGTCATTGCCACGGACTGAGGTATACATTTTAATCTTACACATAGACCGCTGTCACTTGGTTAAAAGTACACGCAGACCACAGGTGAAAACCTGTTAAACAGTGATCATTTACTTTGTAATACGTTATAATCGTGTTTGTAAAAAATATATTCTTGTTTTTTTTTATATTTTTGATAATCTTCTTTTGTAATGTCGCATATTTGCGACACCTGGTCTATAGCCAAGACAATAGTTAAAATTATTATATTTTTCTTGAAATAGCCCAAACGCCACATTCGTGTTGGTTTTTAGGTGAAAGAAATTTAAAAAACAGTAACTGAACAAATATAAAGCTACATAGGATAATGATGTTTCGCTATGATGGTAAATTGTCATAAACCAAAATGAATTGCACAAAAAAAGTGTCTTTCCTTGAATTATAGTGTTCAAAGCTGAAACAAATAAAAAATCTACTTTGGCTAATGACGTTTTATTGCAATAGTAAATTGTCTAACTATTGTATAATATGGCGTCACCAATCATCATATCCACAGACTAAGCGATGCAGATGTGTGACAGACATCCCTGTAGACCACTGCAGAGAATTCAGGGCCTCAATAGACCGTTACAAAGATATAAGCGTTTTAATAACATTGGAACACTGACGCAAATATGCGACGGCAGTATTTTTAATATCGCATATTTGCCTCACTGGTCCATATGAATGAGATATTTTGTACTATTGTGGCAGAGTCCAAGTTAAATGTCAATGGCATTTTACAGTCAGTCGAACGAAATACACACTCTTTTTTTAAGAAACTGGCCCAAAGGATTAGTGATACTTTTATATCACATCTAAAATTTTAATTATTTTTAAAATTGGTATATTATTATGTAACCCAAAGCTGTTTATAAGAACAAATCAAACAAATCCTTTAATATTTGGTTTAATTAATTTTTTTGTATTTTTAGCAGCAAATGTCTTAACCTATGTCAGAAAATGGAATTTTTGTCCCTCTTACATGATTAATTGAGATGACACTTGCTGATAATTGCTGAGTCTTTGATCATCCTGTCTATGCAAATTGTGGGAAAATTAACACATCTCGCTATTATGGTAACAATATTAACGTCATCCACGATCGCAGCAAAATCGTCAACGTCTTTCGCCATCACAGGGACTTCGTTATCATCACCCAGAATTGCACAAAAATTGTTAACATCTCCCACTATCATGGGGACATGATTATCGCCACCCGCCATTGCGGCTGAATCGTGATTTGTGAACATCTCCTGCTATCACAGGGACATGATTGTCACCCGCGATCGAGGCAAAATCTTCAAAGTTTATCGCCATCACGGGGACGTTGGTACTGTATCACCTTAAAAATATGGCTAATTTGAACCCTTATAAAGTTCATTACCGTACCATTGTGTTGATGTGTAAAAAATTAAAAATGTAAGAGCGCCCCTTCCTCAACAAGTTCCTGGATATGCCTCTGCTATTGATCGTTTTGAAAAGTTGAATGGAAATAAAAGCAATTTAAGACAAATATATGTTATAAAAAAATATGTGAAAAAAGAACAGAGAGGGGATCAGGGGTAGGATGGTGCTGGCGGCAGCACTCCACTCTACACACGCTGTAAATACAGTAAATACAAGAAACTACTTTGACCTTGAGCAATCATGTGCGCCGCTCCCATTCCTGAACCTCACCTCATAAATATTTTCTTAAGAGCCCTTTTCTTTGTATTGGCTAGACCACTATGCAAAATAAACTTTTTTTAATACTAAGGATAAAACAAATTACATAGCAACCTAAATTTTTCCGCCCCCCAATACTTGCTGCCAGGGGCAAACAACCCCCCCTGCCCCCCCCCCCCTCTATGGTACGGCCCTGTGTAGGTGTCATTGAGTTCTCTACATTTGTAAACAACAGTTTTCAAAACATTGTATATCACTTAAAGCTTGTTGGGTTTAGGTCTATTCTATCATTGTTCTTAGTATGAATATACTTTTATTAAATTGAAACTGTTTAAACTAAGTTATTGAATGGTTTCCACTTTTCAGTCAGCAAATGTAGGGAAAGTCCTCCTTACTTAGAAGGCCCATCCATTTTCACTTTCTAGACAGATAGTCCTACAGAATCTGGATGGGTTACAACCCACTAGGTTGTAGGATTATCATATAGCTAGAAGCTACTCGATGAGATTTGAATTCTTCCTCCAGGTTACAAGTTTTGTAATCTAAAAACTATAGCTAAGCCTGACGCTTAACTTATACAATGTTTTACACATTGGTTTAAGAACTAATGTGTGTCTTTGGGTCTTAATCCTTAAGTTTTTCATTTGACAGGTTTAGGATCGTTCTAAAAACCAATTATGAGTTTAGTTTCACAATAATTAATATTTTTAGAAGAACAAGCAACCAGCGAAGCAGAAACTGTGGAGAATGAGCCGGAAGAAACGGAACCAATAATTGACATGGAGCCGGTGGTGAAGTCCCCTCCAGAACCGACCAGAGTCAAATCTCCAGAACAGATTTTGATGCGTTCTCCCGAACCGGTTAACTGGACAGTTCCTCTGGACACTGGGAAAACCTTCACGGTCACACAAAATGTTCATGAAGGTAACAATACTTTAGTTTGTGTGATATGAATTATACATAAGTGTACCCCTATGTATAGAATTCCTCATACACCCGTGGTATAGTCTTCAGATTTATACTCCCATTGTATTTATTACACATAGGCCTACACAGTAGACTGCATTCTGTGAAACTAGTTTGTCCTAAATAATTACACTTGTAGCTTGGATTAATTTTAGCCTTAAAAATTAAGAGTTTTAGATCACCCCTTTTAATTATTTCATAAAATGTTAAAGATCTCTCAAAAGCTTTGTATATAAAAAAAGACTTATAAAAATTGGAAGGATGAAATATGTATATTCCTCTAATTTAACCCTCGAGCTGGCATGCACCCGATATCGGGTGATTTACGCCACGGTCAAAATGGCAGTCAGGGAAATCGCCGATTTTTGAATGAAAATGAATCTAATTTTACTTAATATAGTATTTATTCGGTTCAGAAATGAATAATCTGTCGATTGATGAGCATTTCAACTATTTGGACGCGACATTGTCATTATGATGCAGTCGCTTATTAGCGGCGTCTGTTGTTCCTTATTTCGCGTTGTGTTTGTTTAGTTTTGGTATTATACGTTTTATTTTTTATTGAAATGTGAGTTGATTTCACTTCAAGATGTCTGATCGTAACTACCGTGTCATAATCCTGGGATTCTGTAGGTCTGTAATATAACTTGAGTATTTTTAAAATTATTTCTTGTATGAAGTTAGACCTGAATGTTTCGCTTCAAGTATTCGTGTAGGTTGTACAACGAATATGTATATGGTAATAAAAACCATTATATGTATTTTTTTTAGGAACAAGGTACATGTATTATATACCTATAATTCTTTTCCTCATGAAATTGTGCACAATCTGTATATTTTTAAAAATTATTTTGAGTTCATTGATTTGTGTTATAATACGGAATATATATGCATATAAATAAAAAAAATTCCGCTTAGAAAATATTCAAGACATTTTTTTAAATTAAAATTTCATATCTAAAATTTATATAGTATTATTCCTTGTTTTTTGCTGAAAAAAATGATATATTTACAAACTTATTTACTGTATAAAAATGTTTTATAAAAAAGCACGACCCATAAAAAACCCTTGTCACAACAGCATAAAATATCCACCAGCTCGAGGGTTAATCTGACAAACATTATTCTATGGTTTTATTATATACTAGCGGTTAAACTAAGTAAGTAGTATACAGTGCCCTGACATAGTTGATTATTCTGCACGATTCAGTTTAGATTCTGAATTAAAATTAATAATTTTATTAGTATTCCAATTTTTTTATTTATTTTAAAACTATTATAACTTTTACTCCCAGCCTCTTACATACATAATCAAACGCATCCTTAAGAATGACGTAATAATATTTTCTTTGTAAATATATAGGCTATACTTGTAAATGAATATTTTCACCATGTACATTGCAGCAAATAACAAAAACACTGTGAATCTATCCTTTTGTGGAAGAAATAGAGTGGAACAACAACAAAACCTGTAAAAGATAAGAAAGGGTTATGTATTAGTTGGACGATTCCACGTTGCACTTATGTACTTCCATTTTAAACTTTAAAATGATTTTTTCTAAATTTTCTTACATTATAAAATACAACTATCTGGCCAGTAAGTGTGAGACATAACTATTTAAACGCTATGATATATGATAAAATCAGGTTTTTGTAAAATATCCATTTCTTTTTAATGTTTCATGTGTGTATATTTATTTGAAGTATTTTTTTTTTCCTGAAAGTATTCACAAATTAACTTTATTTTAAACCGTCAAGCTGATGCTGCAAAGAGAATTATGATTGGCAGATAAATCATTTCTCATATTTAATTCTCTAAGCAGTGAAGCAAGAGATTTTCTGATTTCAGGAACCCTCAATTCTACTTATTAACTATTATAAAATTAATAAAGTCTTTCTCAGTGTCTTATTAAAAAAATGAATGAAATTCAAATGAATGAAAGACTAGAAACCTTTGACTAATTTACAAACTTTCCTTAATAAAGGTGATAAACCTGAGTAATAGGATTGTGTAGGACATTATTTAATTCTTTATCCTCATATTTCTTCTTCTTCGGTCAGTAGGATTAACACTAGATCTAACAATCACTTTTTTGTAAAGGAATAGAGTTGAGCTAGCTTACCTGAGAAAATTAGAGACCAGGGGCTCATAGATAGACAACAAAAGAGACCAGGGGCTCATAGATAGACAGCAAAAGAACATGAAACATATCACTGATATTTCGTCCTAGTAGGACTTGGACAGAGAGCAGGTCAAAGAAAAATAATTGAGTATATAGGTCGACATTTGTCTCCAATGCCCTATAATTTATTAGTAAGCTAGCTGGTTAGGTGTACTTTACAAAAAAAAATCCTAACCAGCTAAGAAAACTAATTTAACTTGATAGCCTTGATATAATGATCAACTTAACTTCCAATTCAAACATGGTCCACATTCATAAATTATCAAAAACATACCTGTGATTTTTTAAATGTTCTTTTATAAGTGATGGCATGGGATGGATTCATTTAATCATGATCTATGTATATGTGCACAATAGATTATAATGTATGACTTTTTATTTAGCCATAAAACATAACTCTTTTCATCAAAATTAGAATTCAGAACTAGAAGGGAAACTATGTACACATACTACAATCTTAAACTACGTACTCTACTCAAGCTTACACGCCAGAATGTTACTACAATACTTTCATTATTACTCTTATAAATTTAAGAAAATTGTTTAAACTTCAGATTTAATTCTCACAACATCAAGTAAAAAGTATTGTTTCATTAAGTATTTTATTTACATATTTCACTCCTTACTTCAAATCACACCGTTTGAGAATTAAGATGTAAAGCATGACACCATTTCAATTATGTAAGTTGTTCAGCTAAATTACAAATTTTAATTTTTTCATTGAAGTTACAAATATCGGACATTGATAAAAAGTAAATACTAGAGTATTTTTGTACTTTATTCAAATTTACATACATATAAATTCCATAATATGTATAACATAACCGTGCGTGTTTGGATTCATAATTACATTATGTTTAGTTTTCAGATAATATTTACATTTTTCGTTTTCTGAGCAGTTTGATGTGAATCAATAATTTAGAATTTTTATAGCTGTACTAATCAAAGTGGATGTTTTTGTCAGTCTGATATATGTAATGTTGAAGTTAAGTATGGTTTTGTGGTGTATGGAGTGGTGGTGGTGTTTAGCATCACTGCCAAGATATGTTGATGTTTTCTTGTATGTGAAGCAATAAAAATCACACTACCTCTATTAAATAATGCCATTAATTTATACAATACGGTTTTTTAAATACATTTATATTTTAACCACCAGTAACAGTTAAAAAATCTAATATGATAAAAAAAGTGTTAGTAATAAATAAAATTAGCTAGTTGGATGTTATATGAAGATAATGTAATAAATTATGACAGTGTTGAGTATCTAAAGACAAACTTTTTGATATTTTTCTTTTTCTGTAGCCTTACCATATGTGAAGTTTTGCCGAGGTAATTAAATGATTCCATTTTAAAATATTACACACTTTGTGCCTGCATTAGATTCAAATCTCTTTGTTGCTTTTTGCTCTTATTTAGAATATTCATAAACAATTTTCAAATATTGAAATAAATGGTTTTATGGTTTTTAGAAATCCTTAGTAAATTCTTATCCAAGCCAACCACTATAACTATACTGTAAGACGGGTCAAAAAGAATTTCTTCAACGATGCATATTTTTGTAAACTATGAATAACATACCATTATATATTTTATTCTTTTTCATAAATGAACTTTTTTTATTGGGTGTTTTAAGGCTATGAACTTATATCCAGAGCCGGCTATAGGTATGTGCGAATGGTGCAACGCCTCAAGCTGCCTCGCATGGGGCAAAATACAAAGAAGGAAAAAACTGTAAATTGTAAGACATAATCACGGTTCTGAGGATGTTGGTGTTGCCGCATAGACAGAAAAACGTATAACAACAGTATAACGTTTTTACTCATTTAGTAATTACTTTAACTAAAAAATCTCAAAAGTCCAATTATTATTAATTATTATTAATTATTATTATTAATTAATTAATTATTATTATTAATTAATTAATTATTATTATTAATTAATTAATTATTATTATTAATTAATTAATTATTATTATTATTATTATTAATTATTATTTAGAATGGTTGTTTCATGCTAGAATACTTTAGCTAGGAGTATTTTAAAGCATAATTAATATCATGGCAAAACAATATCAAGAAAAAATACCACACAAAAATCACAGCTAGCTCTGTTACTCCTGTTGTCCATATTTTTCTGCGTGTCAGCTTGCCAGTCATCAGCAGCTTCTTCCCACCACATGGAATTATTTTAGTTTAAAAGCTGCTCACTAAGTGTCTCCTTTCATTAGTCATAAAAACAGAGTTTTTGTAAAAAACACATATTTAAATAATGGTTGCTGGTCTTCCGAGTGTTCCTTTGTTTTTAATGATGGACTACTTAGGCCTTTTGAGCAGCTGTGAAAACTGATTCAAAATAATTTTGAGCTGCTGTGTAAAAAGAAATCTGTGACCACCCGGCCAATTGGCTACTTAGAAACCTAAATAGCGATGTAAACCCCTATAGGGTTGACACTATCTCTGTTACACTTAAGTACTATGATAGAGGGTTTAACTTATCTACACCACACACACCAGACAATAGGGCAACTATGCTAGAGACCGCTCATCTCTGCCACACCTTAGGTGATAGGCAACTATGCTAGAGACTGCTCATCTCTGCCACACCTTAGGTGATAGGCAACTATGCTAGAGGCTGCTCATCATCATCTCTGCCACACCTTAGGTGATAGGCAACTATGCTAGAGACCACTCATCTCTGCCACACCTTAGGTGATAGGCAACTATGCTAGAGACCACTCATCTCTGCCACACCTTAGGTGATAGGCAACTATGCTAGAGGCTGCTCATCATCATCTCTGCCACACCTTAGGTGATAGGCAACTATGCTAGAGACCACTCATCTCTGCCACACCTTAGGTGATAGGCAACTATGCTAGAGACCACTCATCTCTGCCACACCTTAGGTGATAGGCAACTATGCTAGAGGCCACTCATCTCTGCCACACCTTAGGTGATAGGCAACTATGCTAGAGACCACTCATCTCTGCCACACCTTAGGTGATAGGCAACTATGCTAGAGGCCACTCATCTCTGCCACACCTTAGGTGATAGGCAACTATGCTAGAGGCTGCTCATCATCATCTCTGCCACACCTTAGGTGATAGGCAACTATGCTAGAGACCACTCATCTCTGCCACACCTTAGGTGATAGGCAACTATGCTAGAGACCACTCATCTCTGCCACACCTTAGGTGATAGGCAACTATGCTAGAGGCTGCTCATCATCATCTCTGCCACACCTTAGGTGATAGGCAACTATGCTAGAGACCACTCATCTCTGCCACACCTTAGGTGATAGGCAACTATGCTAGAGACCACTCATCTCTGCCACACCTTAGGTGATAGGCAACTATGCTAGAGACCACTCATCTCTGCCACACCTTAGGTGATAGGCAACTATGCTAGAGACCACTCATCTCTGCCACACCTTAGGTGATAGGCAACTATGCTAGAGGCTGCTCATCATCATCTCTGCCACACCTTAGGTGATAGGCAACTATGCTAGAGACCGCTCATCTCTGCCACACCTTAGGTGATAGGCAACTATGCTAGAGACCACTCATCTCTGCCACACCTTAGGTGATAGGCAACTATGCTAGAGGCTGCTCATCATCATCTCTGCCACACCTTAGGTGATAGGCAACTATGCTAGAGACCACTCATCTCTGCCACACCTTAGGTGATAGACAACTATGCTTGAGATTTTTATACTATATCTGCCATAACTTACAGGACAAGGCAACTATGCTAGATACTGCTCATCATCCTCTCTGCCACACCTTAGGTGATATCCAACTATGCTTGAGATTTTTATACTATATCTGCCATAACTTAGGGGACAAGGCAACTATGCTAGATACCGCTCATCATCATCTCTGCCACACCTTAGGTGATAGACAACTATGCTTGAGATTTTTATACTATATCTGCCATAACTTACGGGACAAGGCAACTATGCTAGATACCGCTCATCATCCTCTCTGCCACACTTTAGGTGATAGACAACGATGCTTAAAGTTTTTATACTACATCTGCCATAACTTAGGGGACAAGGCAACTATGCTAGAAAACGTGCATCATCATCTCTGCCACCAAAAAATGGGACAAGAATATGACTCAATAATTTGATCTTTGATACTTTATTAACAAAAGATGTTTTTAAGCATGTCAGAGTTTACATTGTTTTAATTAGTTAAGAAAGACAGATTTTTCTAATTGAATTTTTTTATCATTTGAGAATAACTCTCACCTATTTTGATCCGTCCAAATTTTAAAATAAAATGACCAAATATATTGTCGAAGGAAACACTTTTTTAAACATAATTTACATGAAGGTGCTACATGCACTGCACAATGGAAACGTGAATGACACACCTATATGAACTTTTCTACTCACCCACAAAACAAAAGTAATGATAAAGTGCAGTCAGGATTATGAAAAACAAACTGTGTTAATGTTGTGAGATTGAGTTGTGTCTGGACACTCATATTTAGACCATATATAATTCTTTTTAAACTCATATCTTATATTATAATAACAAATTCATGTTTATGTAAGTTCTACTTTATGTTTTGGTAAAAAGTTTTTAAAATTTAATTTAGTACCGTAGTGAAAGTGTATACAAAATCATAGATTTAGTACAAACTTTAGAACAAACTGTAGATTTGCATTCAATTTCTTATTAACATTAAGCCAAAGCCAAGAAAACAAATGGTAGTTTCTAAGTTGTGGTTGAAAGACGAGTTTTATAAGGGTCTTTAAACCCTAAAAATGAGACAAAAACTAAAAAAATTATCAAAGTTTTTAAAAATAGCCAAAGGCATACTCTTGGAATGATAAAGGTAAAATTATCAGATGTATCAGAAATAGTTAAAGTGCATCTAGAGATCACAGTGTGAATTTAGTCTAGAATGCAGGGCCATTCATTGTTTCATTTTTTGTCTGTTTTGGCAATTTGCTTCCCTCTTCAGGTATTCATCTTATCTGCCTTCACAGTTGGTCCTTAAGTCTGTACTTAACAGCAATCCACCCAAATCTACTAGTAAGGTATCCGTCATCAACCAGAAATTAAAAAATGTAAAGTTTCAATTCAGATTTTAAACTATAAGACCTCTTTGCTATTGCTTACTATAATGGAAATGTCCATGTGTTAATGAAAATACAAAATAAAATGAAGATCCACACTTTAAAGAATCAGATATGAGTGAGATTCTGCTATAAGTTTAATGTTAAAATTTGGAAAATTTCACATTTCATCATTCATTTTGTGTATAGAAGCTTTGTTGCATGATTATTGTCAAATGCTTGTATTTACTCATACACAACGTTGTAGAGTAGACAGTTTAATTTTGCCATATTTTGTTGTAGCTATGTATAGAAATTATCAATGTAATACTAGATGTTGTATCATTAGTAAAATTTTATTTTAGATTTTTTTATTGTTTCAAAATGAAGGCAAATAACATAAGCCTAAATATACTCACACTTTGTATAAAAAGCTGTAAGGAAACATTTTCCCTGACAAATATTGAAAGAAAAGTTTTCACATTTTACAGTGTATCTCAAGTTTTAAGTTAACGGGTTTTGTAACTTTATGTTTTCATTTAAAATCTATGAGAACTAGAGCCCTGAATTGTAACAAAACAGTGTAATATTTTGGCTAACTTTATTAAAATTTTTACAACATTTTAAACAGTCCAATTTGTTTATGTGATCGACATTTTAGACATCTTAACACGGGGGGGAAATGATAATGGTTGGAGTATTATCTGTAAAATATTTAGTAGGCCTACTGTAGAATGTGTCACACATGCGCCTCAGTTAAACATGATAGATGACTACTGGTATGTAGTACATTAGCTGTGATCATTGTAAACACACATTGTGTATTCCATTCGAGCAGTTCCTGTGCTCATTAAATCCTAATTCTTAATCTATGTTTTGAGATATTGTCTGCTGAAAACAGTATCACCAAACCAAAGCGATGGGCCAAATATTTAACTGAACTTATATCAAATTTTGGTTTTGTAATTATTTTACTTTGGAAATCAACGGTTTGATATCTTCCTAAATCAAATGAGTTTTTTGAGATATTTTGAACAGTAGATATTGTTTTTAAGCTAGTAAATTCCCGGTTATCCGAGTCTCGGTTAACCGAGCCAGTCATTATAAAATAACAAACATAAATAATGGTCTTAATAGCGAGACAACTACAGGGAGCCGCAATGTTTATTTGTTTAACAAGCGCGGTTGAGCCGTTGGCGTCTCTACTGGCTGTTGCTAGGTTGAGCTGTCGATCCATAACACGCGAATATGCAGATGAACAATTAATCCTAGAACTACAGTAGCTCCTGAGATTTTTACTGCGTGTTGCTAGGTCGAGCACTCTATGAATTATCAGGGCACTCAAAACCCGCTTATTTTCATATACACCTGATATTTTTAGTCTCAGGCTCTAAACTCGCGCTGTTGGTTGGTGTTAGTGGTAGGTACTCGTGCTAGTCATGGTTGTGTTGGTGTGTTTTTTTTGCCAATTTAATTGATTGTTTATCATTTATTGTTGCTGATTGAGTATCGATTGTTGTTGATTTTTATTGTTGCTATGAGTGGAAAACAGAAGAGAGTTGTAGTTTCTCTTGAAACCAAATTTAATGCTATTAAACGATTTGACAATGATTAAAAAGGTGGCTGTTGATTTTGGGATTGGGGAAGTGACTGTTGGCAATTGGTGACGAAAACGTGAAGAAATAAAAAAATATTTTAACAAAAGTGTGAGTAGGCCTAGAGGTGATGTTCGTAGTTGAAATACTTTGAAGAAGGTTAACTATTAAGCAGACGTCTTTTAGCACTTCTTTTTGGTTCTCCCAGCTTCCGTCGGGCGCATTGATTTTCAAACACCAAAGGGCGCTCACGGAATTTACCTCCGGGAGTACAAAAACTATACAATGATGAGTAAAAAATAGCAATAAAACTGTAAGAAAAACATTTTTTATGAGTTATTTCACTATTACTCAAGTTGTATATAAAATAGAAAATGTTATAATAAACAATAAAAATACGTAAGTGTTGTGGATAAAAAAAATTACTTTTTGTTCATATACACTACTATCGTATAAAATAAAAAATTAAAACTGTAATAGTGTATGACACAAAAACACCTACGGTCTAATGAAAAAAATCATTTTTTACATAGACAACCCATTTTTTTTTAAAACTTAGACAAAATTGCATTAATCTATGACATAAAAACACCTATGGTCTTATGACAAAAATTATTTCATACATGGTCAACTTATTTCGTCAAAGCTCCTAGAAAAAAATGCAATAGTATATGAAATAAAACAACTATGGTCTAATGAAAAAAAAATCATTTGTTAGAGGACTACTCATTTTGTCAAAGCTCTTTTTCCAAAAAAAAAAGTTCCTGAACAAACACACCAGTAGGTCTTTCCAATAAATGTTGTTCCCTGTCCTCCCTATCTACACTAGCGAACAATCGTGCAATTTCTTCTTCTTCATTAATTTTATAATATCGCAAAATAAGGTCAAACACAAGGGCACACACGAAACTAGGCTCGGGAAACCCGTTACATCAAAGGGCCCTCACGGAACTACTTCCAGTAGTGACGCGAATCACTCCCCAAGGTAAACTGACAAATGGGAAAGGGTTAAGAGTAGCTGAAACCAATTCCGCGAGGTGCGTGCCCTATGGAAGGCAAGTGGTTTTTTCTCACCCTGATGCCCAAGAACTGTGCAGTGGTGATATTAGGGCAATCTTTCTACCCCCTAATGTTACCTCGCTTATACAACAGCTAGACCAAGAGGTTCTAGAAGCTATGAAGAGGAACTACAGGCTAAGGCTTCTACAGATGTTGATTACAAAGTTAGATGAAGGAATTACTGTTAAGGACGCCTTTCAAAAAATCCTCACTAAAATCAAACGATGTGGAAGAATTTATTTGGCATAGATGGACCACCATCTAAAATAATAAATATTGATTTCTTCTGCTCTTGTTAATTTAAAAAACTATCTTCACTTTTGTGGCTAATGTTGAGCTAAAATAACCTGAGTTATAAAAATTAATAATATTCAAGTTGCCTAGTTCTTTAAATTTACCATCCATACAGGGTAAATTTAAAGTCCCTTCCCCCTACTTTTTTTTAAACAGTATAAGTTGCAATGTTTAAACTCCGTACATCTTTGTTGGACCTAAATATCCTGTTTTTCATGGGTTCATTGACTCTCCACCTCCAATGGGGGACAGTCCACGAGGAGTAAGCCGAGATTCTTAAATATGCATATGTTGACATGTGTACAGCAAATCAAAGGTCTCTGTTAGTAGAATACAATGCCGCAAACTGGACCTCAAATGGACAATCAAGTCAAAAATGACAGCTGTTCAATATCAATATCAGTAAATAGAAAATTGGACACATGTCAGCTAATGAGATAGTACTTGTTGATCTGATATAACATTAATAAATGCCCTTGATAATCCAACAGGTGAGGGCCAGGAGAGTGTCAGATATTATCAACATTTGTTATGGGAATATTGGATTTTTCATCATGCATTTGATCAAGATTAAATACCATTTTTATAATGAAGTAACAATTAAGCATTTAGGACAGTATAAGAACACAATAAAGTTAATAAAAAGAACCAAACAGTACATACTTGTAATTTATTAAAACTTGGCTACACAATGATAATATGAATTAAATTAAGGAAGGAGGGGAATTCATATTGCTACAGATATGTTTTTATTCACCAATCATCGAAGACTACTGAGTACATCGGATTTCAAAGTGTCAAGTTATTGATGAACAAGAGAACTGGAACCAAGTCAATTGAATATCTCCACCAAACAACAAACAACATTGCAAATGACATAATTTTGGCCATTTTAGGCAATTGAGATTTTTAAAGAGCAACAATGCAAATGACTATACTGCATGGGATTTTTGTTTTTAAAAATAGAAAAGTTTGCAGCACTTACAAGCGATTGAACTAACCATGTTGAACTAACTATGTAAGCCATGGGAAACTATGTTGGCATTGGCGCAGCCAAAAAGTTTTTGTGTTTTCTGAAAATATTCACTTTTGTCACTTGAAACGTTTTTCAACAGAGCTATACAATTGATCCACCTCCACTAAGTTGTAAAATAAAATTTGTAATCAAATCATTGAACTGACCTTAAACTCGTTGTTGATATACATTTGAGAACTTTTTGTCTTTGAGAATCTTGATGAACTTATTGTCAATTTTTGTTTAATGGATTTTTATTGGATTGTTTAAGAATAACTTGTTCAAGAATGAACTTAAGTGATTTAACTTTGTTTTAGGAGACCTGATAACAAGGCCACACAGCGAAATAAAAGCTTGGACCCCCCCAGCTGCGCCCCCCCTGGCTCCCCAGTCTGCTCCCCCCCAACTGCCAGAGCCTGAAGGTGAGCCTAACAGCCCCCCTCCGGATAAAACTGACTTGTTTGAACCAGAACTGTCTGTGCCTCTTCAACAACCTGTTACAGTTTAACTTTAGCACTAAACAAAAATGTTTTCCATAGTATTTATTTTAGCCTTTGTATTGAATAGGAATGAGATTTTTAAATGCAAATGTCTGGTCTAGATGAAGAGTATTTAAGCATTTAAAACTTGAAAAATGATTGCTTGGTCGAAATATTATAATGAATTGGTCAAGTTCTTTTAAAATTGCCATCATAAAGAAATGATTTTAGAAGTACAGTTTGGGGCAATGAGAACTATACAATTTATTTTAGCCCCCAGATGATAAATATTGCAACAATGAGGGAACACCTGTGCTCATAAACAAAATTTAACGATACCATTTTATTAAACACGGCGTTTTGAAACATCGTGCTTTTGCTGTGGAAACGGTTTTTAAGAATAATAATTCTTTTATAAAAACACAGAGATTGTATAGGAAGTATTACAATATTCATCAATATTGATCATTTAGATGAACGGTGTCAACCCAAAAAAAGTGTGGTGAAAGCCATAAACCTGTTCACACACCGGCCAATGTGGAGAGGGTACGAACCACAGTCAGTTAAAGTCTAAAGAGGTCTACCAGGAAGCAGTCCTTGGCACTTCAAGTTTCTAGGAGATTTCTTGGAAGGATCTTGCATCAAGATCTCCATTTCTACCTGTAAAAGATACAAGTCGTGCAAGAACTTAATGAACCAAACAGATACAAAGCAGCTCTACTTCCAGCAGGATTGAACCACTGCCCTCACAGCCATGAACACACTAAGAGACAATTTTGAAGGTTGTTTTTGATCTCAAGATTTGGTGACATATCCTGGCCAGCTTGATTTCCAGATCTGTCCATGTGTGATTCATTTTCATGGGGCTACTTAAAGTATAAGGTTTTTCAAAGTCGGCCCAGGGACCTGCTCGAAATCAGACAGAGAATTGCTGAAGAAGTTCAAGCGATTCATCAAGAAATACTTGAAAGTGTATTCGACAGTTTTTTTAAGCGACTCGAAGAATGTCAACATTTTCAAGGAAGTCACTTGAAGGGTGTTGTTTTCAAGATATGAAATAATGACTTATCCAGGACAAAATGGTAGATTACCTTTGTTTTGATGGGTTTTTTTTATCTGTAGTGTAAGAATTGTAGGTTTTGTGTTGTATAGTTCTCGTTGCCCCACCATGTATAAGAAGCACAAGGGTTTACATCGTACCAAAACCGATAAAACCCCTGGATAAAATGTTAAAACTTGGCTTTAAATTTCATCATCTAAAAAACTTGACTGTAAATAATTCTTTGCAGTTTATGAAACTTAAATCTATGACAAAGAATGTACTTGATAAATGGGCTACAAAAACACCCATTGCATAAATAAAGTACAAATTTTCTCATCAAACTGCTGTTTTAATCACTTTTTTGTAAAATTACTTTTTTAGAAGTAGAAGCACAGATGAAATAATAATAAATTAGACTTGTTTTGTCAATGGTATACGTAATATATGTGAGCCAACATAATGAATAATCTGAACCTCTCCTTGAGTGTTGTTTACAAATATATATTGCCCAATAATTCTCCAGTTCACTTTTATCAATCATAGAAATCTGCAGTGTTTTTCTTTTCTAATAAGTTTCAAGCAATTTAATTTAAATTTTATGAGATACCATTATTTGCTTATTCAGTGGAACTTAAGCGACAAACTTATTTATTATACAGTATATTGGACAATTTGAAAATAATAATCACGAATAATTAATTTGATGCAGATCAAAGTCCTCAAATAATTTTCTACCTATGACCAATAATAGTATTTATTTTAGCTGTGGTTTGAGATTCTTTTTTTTCTATCTAAACTGTTTCAAGCAAGAACTAAATTAGATGTCATAGTAGTGAAATCTATATAGTAAGTAAATACAATGGCATATTATATATTTTATCTATGTTATAGTATTATACGAATAATCTTAGAAAATGTGTTTTTATTTGCCTTTAGGTAAAAATTCTGTAAATTTGAAAATTGTTTCAGTAGTTATTAACATAATATTTTCTAACAAAAATCCTGTTAACTGATCTTCCAAGAGTAAATAGTGTTAGGGGGGTTTTAAGGGGAATACTTTACCTATGGGATTCTTTTGATGAATATATAAATAGTTGTCTGTATTTCTTACTTAAAGAGGCCTTGGAGCACATTTGCTATATCGTTTCAGTTATGTACTATACTTATTGGAAAACACACAACTCTAAGATTAGAAGTATCAAGAATCACTAATTTTGATTTGGTTTTCTCTTTAAATAATTTGAAAACCAGCTAAATCCTTTTCTTCTATCATGGTATCTAATACGCTGATGAACAACAGAACTGTATTCAAGTCAATTGAATATCTCCACCTAATTAGCTTGAGTGCAGGGAGTGTAGTATTGTACATATCCTATGTAATGATTCATTATCTGTAAATTGATTTCATTTCATGCATTATTGAGTTTAATATATTGATCACTGAGGTAATAATGAGATGAGGTTAACAATAAATAACCTAACAGAATATTACAATCATTTTTACACTAGACTTAAGGTAAAGCTCTACATGTATTAGAAAAAACACTAGCATGTTTGAATTTAAAGACCGTGTGGTAGGAAGCCAATTAAAAAGGAAAGTTCGGAAACTCTGTACACAAAGTGGGTGCAAAGGGATGGAAAGACAAGGAATTAAACTGAAAGCTTATCAATGCTACATTTGAGAATACGGGATGCGTGTTTCCCTGTATTTGTAAATACTTTCTGCACAGGGCCTCTAAACTTGTCTATGAATTAAAAATGTACAAGAAAGATAATTTGGAATGACAAGTTACCAAATTTAAGTTGTGTGAAAATAATGTAATTTTAAACTGTTAGTGTATTAACCCCTTCACCTCATCCTTTGGTGGATAAGTTTATTGATAACTGTAAAGAAGTGGGGACAATAGTAACAGTCAGAAGAAATTAAATCTAAGTTTTAACGTTGGATTAAGTTTTTATTTTGGTTTTATATTGTACGATGTGAATATTAGTCATAAAAACAACAATGTATAATCTGCAAAGAATTGTACATATTTTCTTCATGTTTACGCTGCCTTAAAGGATGACCACAGAAAAGTGATGGTAAGTATAGCCTTAATGATAAGTAGTTTTACTTACCTTAAATGGTAGAAAATCTAACCCTCATAAGCAGTTCTCAGTTGTATTGTTTTACTCATACAATCAAGGGATGATGATTAAAGTCTTTTTAAATCCATGATTTGAAAAAGCTAACCTTTGTTTTTGATTATTTATTCAAATAATCAAGTAACTAATCATGTAATGTTGTCTTCAATAAAAAAAAAATCCATTAAATTTAAAATTGATTACTGTAAACCTCACTGCCATTAAAAATTAAGGTTTTATGTTAATACAATACACAAATCTATTGACAAATTCGTTGGTCTATTATATTTTAAAACTTTGTAGCTTTGACTACAGAGAATATAAAAGTCACAGGAATACATAGAATAAAACAAATAAAATTTGTATATACTCCTTGTTTTTCTAAGTACATTAGGTAGTTTGGTTACTTTTCTGTAAAGCTCCAAACTCGAGTGTCTAAACTTTTTCCTCGACAGAAGGATGGCCTGCAGGGTGTGCAACAAGAACCCTTCCCCACCACTGTCGTTTTTGTTATTTTGTACAGTCATCTCAATAGTTGATCGCCTCTAGTGTCTAGTGTTGGTGTCTAAATTGTTTTCTATGTGTCTAAACTTCAGGCTGCAAATCCCCTGACGAGAGGCCCAGTAGTAGCGGAGGGTTGTCCCCCACCTCCGGCAAGTCTTCAGTCTCCGAGGTTATGGATATCGCTCGATCCAGGTTCGAAAAATTTTGGGGTGGGAAGCAGCCCGAGCCATTGGAAAATGAAGGAGTGGTATAGGGAAACCCATAAACTATTTAGATTGTGAATAATTAATTGTTCTATTTTTATTTATTTTTGTTGTAATTTTAAGTTGATATGTTATTTGAAAACTTTGGCCACAGTTAGATTTCAGAGTTGTTTTAAACAATTACTGTTTATCATTATTACTATATACAAGTTTGTTAAACTGTTTATTATATTCTAAAATATCAAACACTTTGTAGATAGAAATTGTTAAACATCTTATATCAAAACAATGGATTTTTATTTATATCTGATAAAATTGTTTTCACCAAATATTAAATGTTTAAATTTCCGTTAATGAATAAAACTCGCTATTTGATCATGTTGTACATCCATCAGTAATGTACAATGTAATGTCAATGTAATGTCAATGTTTAGATTTTAACAACTCTACTGGTAAACCTTGACAGATAACAAAGAATCACTTCAATCAATAATCACTAATCAGAATTAATAATAACTTTTGATCCATTTTTGACAAAAGAAGCTGAACTTACATTTTTATATTGGACTACTTTTACACTAAAATTAAATCTTATTTTGACTTGTTTGGACGACAAATCAATCTACCGTTTTAGGTATTTTATTCACAACCTCAAAGTCACGTTTATGCTCCTATCAAAACTAAAAGTTTACCTCAATTTGTAATAATGGAAATTTCTCTCAATGATGAGACTCTGAGCCAAAGTTTTTTCATAACTTCTTTGTAAGTCTGCTTGGGATATGTAAGCTGTAGTCGTATCATCTATGTCCATACCAGATACGTATAATGAACATCACTTCAACATTCAAGCTTAGCCTTTCTTCAGTTCTGCTTAGTGCTAACTGCTTAAGTTGTTTGTGTATTTATAAAAGATTGTAAGTTTTCGTACAAGAGTTTAATTAGGTAACTAAGATGTTCGTTTATTCAAGGTAACTAAATTTGACTATAAGAAAGTTTGACGGTTTTAAAATCTTATGTAAATTTTTACACGGCTTTGATACGGAAGCAAAATCATGGTATGTTGATAAAAAGTTATTTGAAAAAGAATTGAGATATTTAATATAAAATGGAACGTTGTTTTTAACATAGTCTATTTAGCTGATAATTTTGATATCCTTTGTGAGTTAGGAATATTTTTCGTATGTTAAAAGGGTAAACAGTGTGTGTGGTTACGGTTATGATTATGATAGATCGCTAAACAGTAGTTATGTTAAAGTCGTGCCTAGAGTGGGAATGGGATAAAGCCAGGGTTGTACTAGACTATTGCTAGTTTCTTAATGTTTGAATTGATCATTTTATAATAAGACTGTACGATTTTTATAGAACACTGAATTCTACTGTAGGTATTACAATATTATAGTTTATACTATTCTGATCGGATTTGTTGTGTTTCTGTTGCTATCGATAGACAATATGCTTTATATTGTTGTCATCCATGGATCACTTGCTACAGATTGTATACACGATACATGTTGATTGTAACTTGAAAATTCACTGTCACAACAGCTTATAGATACGAAAGTTATCATATTTCGTTGTTAAAAAATCCTATTTAACATAAACTGTGTTACATAATTATATGTCATTAATATATTTGATCGTGGTAAATAAAAGTTATATTTGCTAAAGTTAATTGAATAGAAAGTTCTATTTGTTTGTGTAGAACTATATCGAGTCTTTTAATTTTAATGAAAATAAATGCAAAATATTAATGAGAATTTTAATTAGCCCTTTTTATTCTCATCTCAGAAGTATAATTGTATACAAACACAAATCCACACACAATAGACAATTGACAACTGTCCAAAAAAAAACTCAGTTTGTTAGGGGGAAAACAGTGACATTAAGCCCAAATCAAATGGTGTAATTGTCGAGTGATCTGAGTGAAACCCAGAAAGTGGGTGGTTAAAGTTTGTCATATAAAAGACACACCTCAATAACCTAACCTGTTAACGGTTTAACTTAGGACTCATGTTAACATCATATTTTTTCTTATACCTGTAAGCTATCCTTATCATTTGAATAAGTATTTAGTCACTCAAATTTGTTTGTGTGCTAAGCTATGGAACAAGGTAGCCTACTATTAACTGTTCTTCAATTCATATCATTACAGTTCAAATTCAAATTTTAACACAGATATTAGTTAGACTTGATTTAAAATCGGACCTTGTCACTAATAAAACCTGCTATAGTTCGGCCGCTTAGAAAACGACCTGCGCGCTAATGCTAAACCAATGCTGGAGGAGGTCGCTTTCTAAGCGGCCGAACTATAGTCTATTATAATTTCAATATTATTACGCTATGATGAATTCATTCAACTACCGGTAGAACTTCAATACTAGTAAGCTATGATGAATTCATTCAACTACCGGTAGAACTTCAATACTAGTAAGCTATGATGAATTCATTCAACTACCGGTAGAACTTCAATACAAGTAAGCTATGATGAATTCATTCAACTACCGGTAGAACATCAATACTAGTAAACTATGATGAATTCATTCAACTACTAGTAGAACTTCAATACTAGTAAGCTATGATGAATTCATTCAACTACCGGTAGAACTTCAATACTAGTAAGCTATGATAAGTTAAATTCATTCAACTACCAGTATAACTTCAATACTAGTACACTATGATGAATTAATTCAACTAACGGTACGTTCATTGTTAGTTTGAACCTTTTTTAGGAGTAAATGTCTACTTCAGTGTGAAAATTGGCTGAAGAGGACAAAGTCCTAAAACAGCCTCAGTCCAGTAGAGTTTCAGCTCACGGGACTGGAACATCATGAGAGAACGTGTTTGAAATCAATTGTTTAACTATGTTTCATCCTATTGAAGTCTGGGGAAGAAAAAACACTATTAAATAATTTGTTTATAAACATTCCTTATTTGACTTAAAATATAAAACAGTATTTACAACTTAGATATATTTTTACACAACTTAAAATTCAACATAAAATCAGTTCACAGTAAGTCATTCTTATATTCTTGTCAATATCTAAAACAAAATAGAGTTAAGTTAAATTATAATAGAATTAAAAGAGATGACTAATCCATGAAAGCACATTTAATACTTTCAATTGTTTTTATTTAATATTTCGTTGGCCTATGGAAATATTGTTTAGATGTACTGGGTCGCTGTAAGTCATTGGGAGATTTCGTTGCATCAGCACAATCATAAAGTTCTTCATCTTCTTCTTTTAACGGATTTCCGGATGAATAAAAACCTACATTTTCGTAAACATGAGTGAGATCAGAATCATTTTCGTCACAATTAAGCAAATCTTTCTGCGATCCATTTTTGTTTGAATTGATTTTACTCATAAGACTTCCTCTCCTAAAGTAATTGACGGCTGAATTTTTTCTTGATACGCTTGCCTTATTTTTCTGTCTTTTCGTATGTCTATGTTCTACACCATGTGAATTGAGATCTGTTTTCCGATCTCCCATTGAACCGACTGTGTAAGGTAATTCTTTAGGAACGATTTCATCCCAGTAAGCATCCTTTACTACTTCTGGTTCTTCCTCGTGCATTTCATCCACAATCATGTAAGCCGCTGTGAGATGACGATCAACAATAGCGTTCAGCTCAAAGTCATCGTCGTCCTCTCCAAATGGATTGAGCATAACAGTGGCAACTTTCATTAGTCCGACATATATTATGAAATTAGTCAAGGACGACATCGTAAACCCTCCAGCACCAGTGAGGCTGTCGCCAATAGTAATGGGTTGGTGGCATATAAGTGTGATGACCACATAACTCATCACCACCACGACCATCGTCTGAGTGTATACCAGAGGTATATTGACGAGATCATAACCTACCAAGGTACCTAGTTTATTCCGGTGAGCTGTCAGTTCAGTAATAAGGAGCTTCAAGCAATGATCTGAAGATATTTTGTTAATAGTTTTTGCATATGTTGCAACATTAGCTGCCCACACCAACGGAATCCAGTGACTTGCTGTTGCCTGAGTTTCCAGCTTATCAAAATGATTCCTCTCCTCCTCCAGAATGAGCCCTGCTTCTTGAACGTGGTGGATGGTCGGAAATCGTTTTCTGATACCGACACTGATATTTCTCATAGTAAGTACCAGTGAGAGAACTGCATATCTTACAATGGTTCTACGAATAATACGTGACTGGTCGTCTTTCCCAGGAATTGTAGCATTTGTGTAGATTGCCAGTGTATCAGCAGATGGCAGCAGCTGATATTGATGCCACCATTTAGTAGCAACATTCTCTACGAAGAATGACAAGACAAATGGAACTGGAAACGTGTACAGATTGTTGGCTAGGTAAAGTTTTACCCTCTGCAGCGACGTTTGAAGATACGGAGGAAGTGCGTAAGTATGGATCAAGTTTATGGCAACAAACAGAACAAGGTAGCAAAGCAAATCTTGCCAAATAAGTTTATACAGACTTCCTTTCCATCTCATCAATACTCTTGAAAAACTTACTACTTTTCCTCCATTTGCTACATCTGATGTGTAAGTGACGGTCATTGTTCAACATTTATGACGAGATTCTGAAAAGTAATCTGTATTTGTAGTATTTTTAGAATTCAATTTGAATGTGGATTCCAAATGTCTTCCCTTCTGCCACAAGTGGTGGAGTTTCTTTGTTTAGAGACTACCTGAAACAATAAACTATTGTCAACTAAATCATGCATGGTTATTGTAATCAAACTCATATAGACAAGTCATCTTTTGAAAATATAATAACAATTAAATTATATATTTTCATGTGGGCACTTTTCCATTCAGAGTGTGTGTTCTCTTCCACTAAGGTATGTGTTATTCTTCTTCAACAGGAGAACAGTACAGGTTACAGTAACATAGTTCAAAACTACCTGTTCTGCCAGTGCTGCTACAGTGTCTCTACAATTGTTATGGATCATGAAAAATGCTATAAGGAATGGCCTGATAAAGTTTGAAGTTTACTTACTATACATCTATATACCCTCTACTGAGTTTACTGATTATGTAAATAACAAGATACCATAATTAATCACTGCTCATGGACATGGTAGAGAACTTGTATGATTTATTTTAAGTCCCATGGTTTAAAACAGAACCATACAAATTCAAGGGTCCAATAAATTTTTGTATAAAAAAATTAGTCCTACTAAATTTGAATCATACATTTATGCATAGGTGACCAGGGCCTGATTAAGGGTCTAGTCGCCAGTAGGCTGACGTTTTTTCGCGCCCCTCTCCTCCCTACCGCTACCCCTCATCAAACTTTAAAAAATAGTAACTAATCGGTTGTTCAAGGAATGTAAAACTTTTTTATTTAAAATAATGTATTTATTTTACATTTTATTAAACATATGATTGTATTAAATCAAAAGTAGACCCAACCTAAAATATCAAAAAACCAAACAATAATATACGTAGGCCCCTACTTTCTAAAATAACTCTATTAATCACCAATGCCTAAAACAGTTTTATTAGGACCTTTAGATGGAATTACAGCATTTATCTGCAACAACTGTATCGTTAAATGTTTTTACAAATCAATTTTTACTATAAACTAGCTGTAACCCACGGGCTTCACCCCGTTTGACTTCATAAATAAAACTATTGATTGGATAAGTTAAGCTGAAATAAACAAATAAGTACAGCTGAGGTATTTTTAACATTAGGTATATGGAAAGTTCCCTTTAGAAAGGAATTACGACCTTAAAGGGCAATTTATGAAATAATGGATAGTTTTGCGCAATGTTTCTCGTGATGACGAACATTTTAAGTATATATGGTTTATGGGGGTGTGACTTGTAGTTTTCTCAAAAGTTCATGGGTACTTTGGGCTTTATATATGGATATAATGATTATGAAAATCTGCCGAACGCACCCTTCCCCGCCTCATTCCCTATCTGCACGAATCCTTTTTTTTGGAATCAAACATTTTCTACGCCCCCGGTCCCAACTTTAAGTCTTACCTGTCTGGCGCCCCCCTAAAAAACTTGGCTGACTGGCGCCCTAGGCTCCAGCCTAATTAGCCTAATGGGTAATCAGGCCCTGTAGGTGGCATAAGCTTTTTAGAGTATTTTAATTTAGAAGAGCTGGTGCTTACTAGGACCGTTACTATAGTATTAATTGCCGAAACTATTCAAAGTATCACCTTTGTACTTGTATGTATGAATAAAGATTATAAATATGAATTGTTTGGTGCCACAATTGCTTTTTTACATTAGTTTTTGGTTAGGTAAGCTACCAATATCGTTTTAATGACTGTGTCTAACTTTAACAGATGGCATTTTATTTATATAACTATTGTATTTTTTAAAAGTAAATGTTACTGAAATGTGTTAAAAACTGAGTGTTTAAAGCCATGTAAGCTTAGATACTATTCTTAATGAGAACTGAGATACATTTACCCATTACACAGTCAAATTTAAAAAAAAAATAAGAGCACCAATAATCAAACCAAACGAAGAAATCTGATGACTGTATTTCTACATCATCTTCAGTATAAAAATGTTTCACCATATTTAATTTTACTTACATAATATTTACCTATTTATTGTATTGTAACTGATATTTAGGGATTTAAAATAAAACAATTAATTATTAGGAATTTCCTCACATTAATGTAACATTTTTCTTGTTGTAATATAGCAATTTTGAATGTTCCAATCAATTAACAGCTGTTGAGAAAATTTGTTATTGTACTTGGAAGATGTAGTTTCCAGTGAAACCAATAACTATATACATTGTTGCAAAATGGTTTCTTTTTTTTTAAATGAACAGGGAATAATTTCAACAGTTTGCCATGCAAAATTCGATAAAAATCCAATTTGCTAATAAGACATTTTTCTAAGTAGATCTACAGAAAAATACTTCCAAAAACTAGGGTACACATTATTATTATTATTATTTTTATACTGAAATATTTTGAAGAATATGACTTCAAATAAAACATATTGTTCTGATAAATTAGATCGAATTTAGGTTACCTATTAAAAAATTAGTAATTGAAAATAAAATAAATAAATACTACTCCCACCACAGCAAACCTGCAACTGGGCAACTGCCTTCACATTTACTCTAGGTTTGCTGCAACGAGGAGGGTAAAAAGTGTTTTTTTGTAAAATGTTAATAGTTTAGTATAAAATAAATGCATTTTCCAAACCTAGTGATTAAAATATGCTCATAAACAAGAAAAAAAAACATCTTAGGTACTTATTCTCCGTAAGAATAACATAAGAGTTTTAAATTTACAATTTTTTAAAATTTTTTCCGTAACCATTAGGCGCATAATAACGCTTCAATATACTAAATTATTTGTTTTTTTTAAGATCTACAAAATTATTTGGAAAGAAATTGCTAGTTTTTTGTTTTAAGGGTCAAAAATAAGAAAAATCTATTTTTACCCAATAAAACCCCCCCTAAACCCCCGTTCCCATGGTCCGATCATGCTGGTTCGCGTGAATAAATGTATAAATAATAATAATAAGAATAAATTTGAATAAATGTAGGATTACACGTTTATACCAAATTTCATAACAATCGGATTATTTTTGCTTGCGTTATCGTGCTAACGGACACACACACATATATGAATTGGAACGGTGTTTTTGGCTTCTAGGGACCTCAAAACAAAAATGTAAATCGGCCCCTGGTCCAGGTCTTACCATGAGGTAATAGCTTATTCCCTATATGGGAAATTCGCTAATATTCCCTATATGGGAAATTCAACGAAAATAAACTATTAAAAATCAATTATGATGGCTTCAATTTAAATACAAAACTTTAAATGAAAAATCAAATCAACATGAAACCTCAGTAGATATTGAAAATATGTAAAATGTGTGGTCAGGACAGGATGGCCCTTACAAGGATGAACTGTAGACCTAGTGATAGTACTGATAACATTTTGTGACAGGTAAAGGGTGGGAATTCATAATCAGTCTCCACATTTACTGAGTCACCAATAAATTTCTTGGAATTTTGGTTTTAATGGTGATTTTCCCCATAAAATAACAGAAAAGTCTGATTTTTACAAAAACATCTAAAATAATTTTAATTAAAGTTAAGTATTTTATGTTTTTTTTTCTTAAAAAAAAATTACTATACAACCCTTAAATGCTGTGAAAATTATGGTTCAAATGTTATTGTAACTTTTGTAACTTTCCCCATTGAGCATCATAGTAACTCCCACGCTTACCCATGCCGGGGTAGCGGATTTTTTTCCCCCTGGAGTTTTACACCCTTGGCGAACGTGACGTCACAAACCAGGGGCTAAAATTCCGGCCGCGAACTTATGAGTTTCACGACATCAGTTCGATGGATTTAAGGCGGAACTAAATGTATATTTTCACGGTTGTGAATTTAATCAGAACACATCAAATTATAAAAACCCAGAGTGTACGGGCCGGAATTTTACCCCCGGACTTTTACCGCCTCATGAATTCAGCCCAAAATGTACAGCCCAGATTTTTACCCCCGTAATTTTACCCTCCGGAATTTTACTCCCTGGCCAGATATATAAATTAGTGAGAATGGTTAATTATCTTCATTCAGTTTTAATTTAAAAGTAAACATTTTATTATTAAGTAGCCTATCTTAATTTATTTGTAACATCAACTAATCCAACAGATTTTTAATTTTAATTTTGAGATTCGAGTATCAGGATTCGATCTTTGAAGCTAACTGTTGGTTAATATGACGTATAAACAAACATCAGAATTGGAAATTGATTCGAAGATTTCTTTAAGGATTTATTATACAACCGTGGTAAACAATGTTTTTAGTTTGTATTGTAACAATAACAAAATATGCCTTATTGTTTCTTTTCAAAGAAATGTTCACCCAATTATCATTTAAATAAGCCACTCAGTTTATTTTACATACTTATTAACCATCAGTTGGCCCCAAACGCAAATCCCGAACATCAAAATTAAACAGCTAATTTTGTTTACTTAGAAGAGATTACAAAATAAATAAATAAATATAGGCTACTTAATAATAAAATGTTTACAATTAAATAAAAACAGAGATAGGAAAATCAATCATTCTTAATAACTTCTATATCCAGCCAGGGGGTAAAATTCCGGGGGGTAAAAATCCGGAGGTAAAAATCCGGCCCGTACATCTTCAGTTGTATAAACGCTACTTATATGGACATGGAGTAAAATTCCGGTTTTATTGCTAATCTAATTAATCAAGCTCTGTGTATTTTAATTAGACTTCCAAATCCGCGGGGGTAAAATTCCGCTCGCGAACAAACTTTTCAGCGCTCAGGTTACTACGTTATAGTGACGTCAGCTTTGCCCAGGGGATAAAATTCCGGCGACCCCTCATGCCATGATAAGGGTTGTGACAAGCTAATGGGAGAAAGTATATTTTTCAGATTGCTGATGAAGTTTATTTAGGTACAGTAAAAATCAGGTTTACAAGTTAAGACTGGTCAATTCATTCAGCATTTGTAGAAGAGGAATTGCAAGTTGGAATTGGCGATTTTAAATTGATTTAGGGTATATATCTTTAATCTTTATACTTTGTAATAACAATTGTTTTGTAGCATATACATCCACAGTTACACGTGTTACAATAGGGACTGTCACAGACAGGCAGTAGGCCTACTTTTCATTGTACTGTAGTCCTATGTTTGTGGGGCTGCGTTGGGCTT